TCCCGTTATCTCAAGGGCTAGAAAGCTAGCTATATTAACGCTAGATAGCTAACCGGAGGTAATACCTAAGTAAGGAAATACTAAGGGTTAGTAAGATACTAAAAATTATTAGAAAGATAAGAAAAGGACCCCCTATATATATAGAAGAAACTATCCCTAGAGATTCTGCTATTATATTATCGAAAGTATTAGGCTAGACTACTAGAAGCTATAAGCCGAGACGGAAGAACTAGTCGCGAAGGCTATTAAGAAGCTTAGTAAATTCGACTAAAAGAAGATCGCGAAGATTAAAGAGGATAGAGGCACTACCTAGGCTACTGCCTAGCTAGTAGTGACCGAAGAGAAACAGGGATCGATTAGGAGAGTAGCTATATATATAGCTAATATATCCCGTTAGGTTAACCGAATAGCTAAGAGATATCCCCTTAAGGACTCTTAGATACTAGACTTAGGAGCGAACGTTTATATATATAACTACCGAGGGAGCTTTAAAAGCCTCACCGAGGAAGAATTTACTATTAAAACCGGTAACAGCGACTCTATTATTAAGGGTAGAGGAATAGCTATCCTCCGGTTAATAGACCTAAAGATAGGTAAGAAGCGAGAGGTAGTAGTAGAAGCGCTATATATACCTAATTTCTATATAAATCTACTATTCCTCGGCCGTATTAGTAAGAAAGGCTTCGAATTCTATAGTAGAATCCCCGCTATTATTAAGAACGAAAAGCCTATTAGAGCGTTAGAAAAGAGGTATAATCTCTATATCGTAGGAAATACCTAAGATAGACAGAAACTACCTAAGAGTACTCCCCTAGCGATAGTAATAGGTTACCCTAGGTATAGCTAAAAACCCCTTATATCCGTCGCTACACCGAAGCGATAGTATTAATAACTCGCCTATATATATAATTAACGGATCGAGAGGCTCTCGGAGATAGTCGATAGTATCGAGGTTAAGGGAGACACTATAGATAATATAGAGTATAATCCTAAGAGATATAAGGTCTATTAGTATAATATAGCTAAGAGATAGATATCTAGGAGACCTATAGCAAGAGAGTATATCTTTAGAAGATATAGAAGGATTTATTTCGACCTTATTTAGCTTACTACGGCCTATAATAGCTACTACTAGATAACTTATATATATATTAAGGGTATCTGGCTATATACGATAGTTTCTTACGAAAGAAAGAACGGCTATTAATCGGCGATTATGTACTTTATCGCCGTACTAGAGATATAGCTAAAAATAATAATCTAGGTATTTAAAAATAACTATAAGAGAGCGTCCGGAAAGATAGTAGACGATTTCTATCTAGATAGAGGTATAATTATCGAATATAGCGTTATTAGAACGCCGGAAATAAATAGCTACGGTAAACGATCTAGGGGGGTAATTATCGGAGTAGCTAGAGGGCTTCTTATAGAATTAGGCCTACCTAGAAACCTCTAGCTAGAAGTAGTTATAGTAGCGGTTTATATTATTAATAGATCGCCTACTAGGCTACCTAACGGCGAATAGATTATTCTATACGTTAAAGCGATATACTAAGACTAGAATCGGCTAAAATTCCGCCTAAACCTATCGAACCTCTATATATACGGTTATAGAGCGTACGTACGCCGCTAGGGCGTCCCGAGGATAGCTAAGATAGAAGATCGTACAGAGATCGGCTATCTCGTCGGTTATATAGCTTCTAATATATAGCGAATCTAGTTTCCGTATAAGGGAGCTATTAGGGAAGCGCGTAACGTAGTATTTAATAAGAATATTAAATTTAATCCCCGAGAGCTTTAGGTTAGACCATCCGACGATATCATCGACACCCTACCTTAGAATATTAGCCTTAATAAAGAGGAAGATAGTTAGCTAAATATATATAGTAAAAGGCTCGTAGAAGAAGTAATAGTCGCAGAATAAGACGCCCTACTAATATAAGATATCCCTTAGCCGAGTACGTTAACCGAAGAGATAATAGAAACTCAGAAGGACGGTTAGAAGGACAGATAGGTAGTCTATTAGACACTATCCCCTATACCGTCGGTAACGCAGGAAGCGTCGTAGCTAGTAGAGATCTCTATATCTCTAACACCGGATACACCGCTAGAGGCGAGCCCGCTAGGGGTATTTCTAACTAAATTTCGTTAAAAGACCCCTAATAAACAGCTTTAGGATAAGCTCTAAGAATATATAACACTAAGAGCGCCTAGAGATATTGACAGGACGGTCTTATAGACTAATATCGTTACGGGTACGTACCAGAGAAGGGCTCTATAGGGTTATAGCTATCTCGTAGTAATATAGGACCCTAATAAAAATCACGACGGAGTATTAGCCGTATATATAACTAGCTTAAACCCTCCCTAGCCGTATCAATAGCTACACTAGGATGACTTACCTCCTATACCTATAAATTAGCTAGAGATAATAAAACACCTACACCGTAATATATTTATCGCTGTAGTATCGCTAGAAGTCAAAACGCTAGACAGAAAAGAGATATACTAAGAGATCGACCGCCTAATAGACTAAGGTATCTAGATCTTACTATTAAAATAGGTCTTTACGTATAAATTCGATAGTAATAGATTCCTAGTAAAGTATAAGGCTAGAATCTACGTACGTAGAGACCTCTAAGCCGTTAGTAGTAACGAAAAATACTTAGTAACGTTAGCAGTACGGACAGCGAGGTCTATCTTCGCACTAGTAGCTATATTCGACCTAGATACCTATTAGTACGACGCCGTTAATATATTTCTAAATAGCCTACTAGATAAAGAGATCTATATAGAACTACCTCCTAGACTATTCCCTTAGGGGAAGAAGAAGAGAGTCTAGAGGCTTATAAAAGCCCTATATAGCCTATAGAAGTCTCCTAGGCTATAGTAGCGTAAGGCCTCTCGGGTACTTACCTCCCTAGGTCTCTACGTTATCTAGGAAGATCTTTATCTCTTCGTCGGTAATAGAATTATTATATTCTTCTATATCGACGATATTATTACTATTAACTACCCTATAAAACGGACAGCCGTAGATAACCTACGGAAGAAGCTCTATAAGGTATAGGAACTAAGAGAAATAGATAAAGCGTAGTAGTTCTTAGGGATACGTATCCTTAGAGATCGCCGACAGAAGGCACTTTAGCTATATTAAGATTCCTATATCTCTTTAATAGCTAACCGATATTATCTTACCGAGAGCCGTAGGTACGATACCCCCCTCCCCGAGACGACGATAAAGCTATATAATAGTATAGCTACACTAGAGTAGATTTATTAATACTAACAGAAGGTTAGATCTACCTAATATACTACTATAATCAGTCGACCAGACGTAGCTAAAGCTACTAGAGGTCTAGCTTAGTTTCTAACGAACCCTAGGCCTAAATACCTCTACGCTATCGATCGAGTTATCTCCTACCTCTACTAGATAAAATCTAGGGCTATTATATACTATACACCCTCGTATCCGTCCGAACTACACAGAGAGATAGCGGAGGTATAGATCTTTAGTAATATATCCTTCGCTAATAACTATAACCGGAAGAGCTCGGAGGGATATATCTATATAATATATAGTAGACCGGTTAATTAGAAGGCTTCTAAATAGACGACCGTTACTACTAGCACTACCGAAGCTAAATTATTAGCGATCTTATCGGCAGGGAGATCGCTATATATATAGACTCGCTTATTTAAAGCGATTAATTACCTACTAAGTTAACCCGTCGCCTTAAAATACGATAACTAGTAGACTATTAGTCTATTAACTAAGGAAACACCTTAACTACGCACTAAGCTTCGTTACGTCGATATCTACTACTACTGGCTTCGTTAGGAAGTTCAGGCCGGTAGAATACTAGTGTAGTAGGTACTAATAGGCGATATAGTAGCCGATAGGCTTACTAAGCTACTGCCTAGGTAAAAATACACTAAATTCGTTCGTTTAATAGGTCTAGAGGATATTAAACGGCTATTAGAAGCTTCGCACACCTAGATAAGATAGGCTACGCACAGATTGGGCGAAATTAGCCGCTTGCTAAGGGGGTATGTCGAAATATATAGAGTGGTAACTTACCACTAAGAACGGGCTTATTCATCAAGCGCCTAGGTTTCTTATATTTTTGTATGTAATACTAGCTTACAGAGAAACTCAGGCTTTGTAACAGCCGAGTATCGGCCGCACGGACAGAAATACGTCCGTACAGCCAGGGGATAGCTATTCAACAGGCGATCCCCCTGATCTTCTATCATCATCAATCTGATCAATTATCTCTCGTCCCATTGGACATCTTTCATACTAGCCCATACAGAATCAGCCCATTCTGTCATATTGTCCTACCCTATCATTCCCAGTTATGACATGACAAGGCTTATGGTCTAATGCTTGTGGGGTAACCAGAGAGCGCGAAAATACGTGTGTTGGCTGGTGGAAGAACAAGTGACTGCTTACCAAGGATGTCGATTACTCGGATATTTGAAGGGGCCGTTGTATCGGCCCAAGAGGCCATTCCGAGGTCGGCCATCACCGCTTTAGCGTCGGGCGACAATCGCACGGGCCCTCTCAGCTGAATCGCGGCACCTTATTACTGTATTAAGTTGCCTTGACTCCTATCGAAATACTGTAACTATATATGTCGAGTGGTAACTTACAACTTACCACTAAAAACGGGCTTATTCATCGCCTACTGTACTTTTCTTATATTTTCGTATGGAATTCTGGTTTAACAGTACATACATACACCGTATAGTTTGTGTGATGCCGATATTTGCCATGGGGAATGAGGCTGATAGTCTATAGGATGGTGACCGTCTGGAAGTGCCCATGTAAAATACTGATCTACAGTATGATCTACCGGCTTCTTCTACGATATGTTATGCCATCTCTTGCAACCTCAAAAGTATTCTGTACTATCGTTCTTTCGCTATTTGCAATCAACACACCGTCCCACAAATTAATTATAGTTAACCAAAATCCGCTAAATGATCGTATTCCATCACCCTCTATGGTGCACCCTCCACTGGACTCTCTGAAACTCCTGCGGATTCAACGGCTCATCATCCCCCTTAAAACACTCATACCTCCTCTTACTCTTCAACTTCCTCCCCTCCCCAAACCCCAACCTCCCAATCGGAATCACCTCATTCTCAGCCCCAGCCCTCGCCACATCCCTCACAACACCCGACATCTCATCCAGCTCGGCAACAGAATCCGCCTTCCGCCCAACAAGCATCGGAAAGACCTTATCCCCCGCAAACGCCCCAAACCGCAACATAGCAAACGAATCCAGCCGCCCCGTCCACCGCGCAAAGTACCCCGCGTACAGGCTCAGTGCCAGCAGCGGAAGCAAATACACGCCCATCAGGACAGAGACGACAATAATTCCCGTCAGGGAGATAGACGGGATCTCCATATTCTCCCCGAGATCCTGGTACACGTACCAGCTCCCTGGGATCGTGGCGAGCAGCTGCGCGTTGGATAGATACGCCGCCGCCGTGAAGGCGGTCGGGAGCCTGTCGGCGTAGTTGGTGAACCACGACAGCCATTGGGAGATACTCGAGCCTGCAGGGTACCATTCGCCGTACCAGATGTCAGCGTAGACGCACAGGGATTCGCCTTCCGATGTGTCGAGGAGGAGGTTTGACAGAGGCGGATTGGCGATGCAGGCGTCTGAGAGTTCCGTTGCTATGGAGCTGGTGGCTTTGCTTTCTGCTTCGATGGCGGCGTATGAAGCTGGGAAGGTGTCGATAAATGAGTTGGGGCCGAAGGTTGCGAGGGCGGTCATTAGGAGGGGGCCTTTGTAGGTTGTGTTGAGGGGGGATAACGAGCCGGCTTCGAGGGTGGATGTGTTTGTTGTGGTGGAGCGGCGAGCGTACTTATAGTTCCACGTTTGCCACGAGTCCCGGCTGGATTGGTTCATGCATTTTTCGTCGCAGAGGTCCTCGGGGTCGGATTCGAGGAGGGGGCCCGGGGTGTTGTTGTTCATGTAGTTGGGGAGCTCGAAGTAGCCGGATGTGGTGCTCACGGTAATTTTGTAGAGATACTCCGCGGCGTCTGAAGACGAGGTGGCGATGTCTGAGCCCGTCAGGTTGAGGTAGAGGACTTCGGTGAAGTCTTGCCGATTGCGCGTCATTTGCCACCGGGATTTGGTGCTGCTTGCTGGCATACAGGCGATGAGGCCGTAGTAGCTGTGGTTGGAGATTTCGGATATGTATGTAGATTTACGGTCTGTGTATGTAGTCTGATAGTCGAGGTAAAGGGCGCCAGCCTCGGTGCTGCAGTTGGTCGGGAACTGGTCTGCGAGGATGGTTTCGGATGAAGCTGTCGAATTCACACGCGGTGCGAATTGACGCAGCAGTCCTGTGTTGAATCCATTGGGTAGCTGAGAATAGAACGTCTCAGAGGACAATTCGTTGAGCGTGATAAATTGCACCCCGCTGTTGTTACTCCATATGTTAGGGTAGTAGGTATGGCCATCGGCCTGGCTGAGGGCACTCCGGGTCTGAAGCATATCAAGGCCAGCTGCGATTTCGACAATATACTGATAATCTGCGGTGTTGAAATCATTGAGCTTTGCTCGGTTGCTGGGCTCGGTTGGAATCTTGATGGTTTGTGTGGTGAGGAAGAGCGACTGGATGGGATATGTGATAGCACCAAATATGTAAATGATCATCGCGACCCACAGCAATGCGCTGCCGTGCTGTTTCCACCGGCCCTGGGCCAATGACAAGTACAAAGAGGGGTCATCCCACCTTCGATCGGCCAAAGTGGTGACCTGGCGCAATCGAAGTCCCGTATTTTTCTGGTTCTGCGTGTAGATCACAGCGGCACTCGCGCATACGGCGGTGATCCAGGGGAGTGTGGCGACCTGAACGATGGATTGGAGTGTGCGCGCAGAGCGATAAATCCTCGCAGATCGCGCAAAGTCGATTTTCGACTCCTCCTGCTCGTATATCGCATTGGCGATATTATATCCCCACGACTTGGCCTTGATCGGGTGGTACGAAAGTACCACCGTCATGGTCCATGCATAGATAGCCAGGGTCACATAGATGATGGTGATAAGAGTCACCCATGCGGAGCGATGAAGCAGCGTGCTGTGACCCCTTCCTATGATCTGGCCAGTCGAGCGAACCTGGCTATAGGATGGGAGCTCCTCATCGTGCATCGGGGTAGCGCCTGATGTTGAGGATGCCGAGTCGCGTCCATCATACTCTGGTATACGATCATCGCCCGCGCGATCTTCGCTGCTTTGCGAGAGCCTCTGGAGAGGCACCGAATCTCGCACTGCCTCCATTTTTCGAGTGTTGTCATCCCAAAAACCCCTGAGCCCGTGGCTCCCATTATTATCCTGGTCATTTCTTTAGCGGCAATACCGACTGCGGCTAAAAGCTTAGCGTACTCTCCCAACCGAGCGCCCTTGGCGCCTGATGGGACTGGTGGAGCTCCGTTAGCGCCGTTTCTTTTCCGTTGGTTTATGAGGTGCACCCAGGGACGGTTTGATTGGCCTTGTTTCTGTTGGAAAAGCTTGAATCTGTCGGATCACAGGATATCCGTATACAATAGTACTGAAGGAACCAATTGACAGAATTGATTGATTGAAGAACTATCCTGGAGATCGCTGTTGAGAGCGTCTCATAGCCTCAGGGGCTAGGATTGGCATGTTACCGGGTATTCCGAGTGAACCCGGTTTACCATACAAAACATACTGACCGCGGTGAATAATGTCGGAGTATGCACTATTGGTATCGGCTAGTAAGGGAGATGTCCAATAGGATGATCAACTGATCGGATTGATGGCGATATAGAAATCAGGGGGGAGGCCTATTGAAGGTCATCCCCTGTCCAGACAGGCGTTTCCTGCCTGTTCGGCCGATACGCGGCTGCTACAAAGCCTGATGGTCGACAAGGCAAGAATCAATGATATTGGATGTTCATGGCCGTAACGCCGATCTGATAGATACAAAGAAAATGGAAACCTATGGGCTGTATTAAACACAAATGTAAGGGTTTTGGGTCACCGATCCCGAAACAAGCATCAGAGAGTGTGATAAACGTATTCACCAAGTAGGAGTTCAACCTAGAACTTTCGTGACGAGCGCTTCTTCTTCTTATCCTTCTTCTGGCTTGCCTGCGGACTGATGATTACCTCCGACATGTGCTGGATTTTCCCCGTAGACTTGCGGGTCTTCCGTCCCGAGGACTGAGGAAGGGTATGCTCGTCGCCATTCGGCTGGGACTCCCACCTGGACTGGCTGTGTTCTGAGCCATGAGTGTCCTGGCTGAGGTCTGGAAGAGGGCTTTGGGTAAGGTCAATAATATCGGAGGTTTGTGATTGATTGGGTTGTGAAGCGGAGGTTGGAGCAAGGCGTTTGGAACGGGTTGCTGCCGCGGGCGAGTCATGCTCGAGCTGATAATCTGTACTCGGGTTAAGCAGAGAGTGTGGTTCTTGCTGTGCGCTTGTTGGAGGGTTGGAAGATGGTTGCGGGGAGAGACGGAGGCTCTGTTCGCTGTGAATCACGCTATCGTGATCCTCTGGATCATTGAGATCCTCGTCGGCCTCGTCTCTGTCTTGGTCGGTGTTGTCTGGCTCTAGCCAGCCACTCCGTAGCATATCCAGAATATTTTCTTGTGACACTGGCGTCTGCGGTGGTCCTTCTTTTCGTGAACTATTATGGCTCGCTGCAATGACACTCCGAGCAGGCGAAGACTTTGCTGATACACGCTCGATTGGATTGTGCACCACAGACAGAAGAGAGTCATTGGCGCCGGAGAGGAATGATTCATCCACGGCCTGGGGATCGTGCTGTGCGCTTTGCTGCATATCCGAAAACGATTGATTCGCAGATAGAAAGGACAGCGTTGATAGATCTTGAATAGAATTGTCCACAGCCAGCATGGCCTGATCTCCAATGAGAGTGTGACCATCAAGATTGCTCTCTCCAATCTCGCTGAAACGTGAGCCAAGTCGCGCCCCTGGCGACGACCGTGCAGAATGGAAACCGGAGAAAGAGGGCGAAGGAACGGCAGGCGTATCGCTGTGATCATCATCCGCATCTCTTCCCCGTGTGTGTGGAAGCGGCACACCACCAGGCGTTCGTCTAGATGGAACATCAGAAGCTCTCGCTGGAGACTCGTTCGGGGACTGAGGACGGCTGGCCGCGGTAACGAGAGTGACAAAGGTGTTGTCATCTAGGCTGACGAAGGTGGTTTCATCGAGATCCATTCCGACAGGTGGAGGAGGCGAGGCCAGCTGGGCGTTCGGCATGGAGTCCTCGACTACAGAGACACTTTGAACAAGGTGAGCGCATGCAACAACATACCAACGATTAATTCACTGACGTGCTACCTTCTTTAGCTTTGTTCTTGTCTTTCCCCCTCGTGCCATTGCTATCGGACTCGTCGTCAACGACCCAGGGTGCAGGTCGCAGTAGCTTGGGATCGCTGAGTTCCGCAAAAGCAACCTCACGGAAACCATCGTCCTCTTCGTCTTCGTCGTCCATCCCGGGCATCTCAAATCCGCTATATTCGCGGGGCTCATCATCTTCTGGATCAACGTCTGCCTTGGGTCGTCGGTCGCGCATTGCTAGTCGAACGTTGATACTCCCGTTGCCAAGAACATCGTGAACCTCGGCAACGCGGTATCCAGACATTTGGGGCTGCCAATTTGTAGCCTTGGACATGTCCAATTGCCGGAAAGCGATGATGGCCCCGACTTTGGCTTCACATTCGAGAAGGTCCGCAACAGAATTCAGATCACTCGGGAGATCAGGCAGGTCGTCGACCACAGGAGCGGTAGCTTCCTCATAGTCTGTCACATTGGCAGTATTGTCCTCAGCTGTAGGCCATTCGTCGTTGTAGTTGAGGTGCATGTTGTCCTCATAGGCGTCATAGCCATCCGCCTCCTCATACTCGCCCTCTTCATCTCCATTATAGACCTGAATTCTCTGCTTGCGCTTGCGCTTCTTGCCCCAGCCCTTCCGTTGCCGGATCAGTGCGTCTGCATCCTCATCCCAGCGCTGCTGGAATGGGAATGGCGGGGCGCTGAGCTCGATATCATCATGGATACACTCTATAGCCTTGATGACGAGCTTGCTTTCCCAATCCTCATCTTCATCGCTCTCTTCTTCCTCTTCTTCGGTTGGCTGTTTTTCTGCTGTTTTCCTGCGAGAGTGGACCACACTAGCCTTAGCAGCTAGCTTTCTCCTTGTAGCTTCTTCGTCCTCTTTAGTCCGTGGCATACGTACGCCCAAAGACCCAAAAAGGAGCCTCCGAGAGCTTGCAACATCAAGAGTACGCCGAGTAGACTGCTGCATGTCATCCAGTTCACCCGTTGGACTCTCTTTAGGGACGGCTTGTTCGGTCGCGGTAGGTTGCTGAGGAGGAGGCACGTTTTCTTTCTCCGAAGTCCCTTCGATATCAACACCGCCAGCGGCGAGATCTCGAAGCAGCTTCTGTCGCCTGGCTTCGAATTCACGTTGCTCCTGTTCCTTCTTCTGTGCCTTTGTCAATGTGGCAGACATGATGCTTGTCTCGTCAGGGACATGCCAACCTCCGTTTTCCTCTTCCCAGGCACGGAGTGTCGCAAAGTCGGCTGTCTCTGGGAGCACACCGAGTTCTTTCAGCTTGGAGAGACGGCGCCGCAGTTTGAAGCGCTGGTTGCTTTTCTTGGTACGGGTTGATCCTTCACCAGGGGGGTTCACAATAGCGGGCTGGGATGTTTTCTGCGAAGGCAGGTCAACCTCATCGTCTTCAGACTCGGAGCTATCATCTTCTGAACTGGAATCTTCCGAGTCAGAGGATGACGAATCAGACGATGCCCCTTCCGACGAGTCGTCGTCTTCTTCCTCGCTAGATGCCTCGCTTGACTCGCTGGCCGATGAGGGAGACGATAAACCCACGTCTGAGTCAGATGATTTAGCCCTGCTGACTTTCGGTTGCAGTAATTCGGGAATTTCGGGAACGCCTTGTTCGCCCTTGTTGAATCTCACGGCCTTTGACGCTCTCGGCGAGGAGTCATCGCCGCGGGACCGCTTGCTGGACAGAGAAGATGCACCAACCAACGATGATCGGCGCTGGGTATCTGCTGACAATGGTCGCTTAGCCACAGAGCTAGAACGTAGCGCAGGGCCAGGAGCGACTTGACCCTGGGTACGAATATCGATGAATTGCGATGCAGGCTCTTCAAAGTCTTCTTTCAGAGCCTTGAGCTCACTCTCGAGCTCATCATCCTCAGGCTCAGACCCATCTGCCTCGCTGTCTGTGTCTCCTGAGTAATTGACAGGGTGTCTGATTACAGTCCCCATGTCAGACACTTCGTGCTCCGGGGGCAAGATCGAGAGCTCCTTTCCGAAACCAGTGTCACCTGGAGGCAACCATTCCCCATCGCCCTCTTCGTCGGCATCAGCATGGGCATTTTCATTTGCAAATTCGTACCCAAAGGCTGGGCCGTGGTCCCAGCCGGGGAACATGGTCCGCCGCTTCTTTCGTGGGGGAATGGTAATCGCAGGTCGGTTCGAGGAAGTTCGGTTGAAGAAAGGCATGCCGAAGGGCACACCATCAATGAGATGCTTGCCATCGCTTGTAATCTGGTGACGACCACACAGCCGTCTTGCTCGGAGGTCCGCCAGCTGAAGCGCTCGAATACTGGAATGCGCACCGTCAGTAATCCACGCGCAATTGCAACAAAGAGGAATACGGGGTCATCTTACACAACCTCGTCCCCATCCCTCAGTAATCCATCCACCTCCATGAAATGCAGACATTCGGACCCAGCGACTTCAACCACATAGTCTTCCAATCCCCACTGACCACTGAACTCTGGATCGAACATGGTGGGTTCCGTCTCTAGCGGCACAACCTCATTCACATCCTCCAGAAGCTGCGCGACAGTATATCCGCCATTCGCAAAGGCAATATTCGGCGTCCTCGACGATGCAACCATCGACGCTGAGGCCGCGCTCTGCGTACCATATTCTCCTTGCGCAGAAGGCGAGGAGGTTGTCGTCCACAGAATGCGCGTGGCCGGCAGGCCGTGGCGGGAAATAATCAGGTGAAGGCGCATGGTGCAGCGAGTGAGAGCTAGACCATTGAGACGATGGGATAACGAAGAGATATCTTGATTGGAGTTGCGACTTTGAGTTCGCGCGTGCTGTTTTCCAGCGTCGGCAGGAGGCTAGGTAGAGCTGTTGTCCTGTGGGGTATTTCTGTACCGAGAATTTGCGATCACGTTTCAAATTCTGAGGCGGTGCGAAATGGTCGTGGCCCTGCCATACGGGCGCTGTGAGAGACTCGGTGAATCAGGAAAACGTGCAGCTCCGAAGAGCTCGCGGTGTGGAGGAGCGCTAACCACATTTGGTGTAGCGCCTCAGGCACAAGATCGACGCTGTCAACCAACTATACAAAGGCTACCCCTGCAATGGGTAATGTGGGAAATAATGGATGTACAGTGAGATTTAGTTAGAAGTGAATGCATTGGCAATTAGGTAGCTAAAGATATTTGAAATTGAATATTTAATATACGTCAATCCCTTAGTGCAGAATAATAGCGCACGGCATATTACAATTCAGTTTTGTTAAACCAGGAAATCAAACCGGCTACCCAGCTCGCTATGAATGCAAAAGCCTCCAAGCGACAGAAAAAGTAGTCTTTCAGGATATGATAATGACAGGGGGTATCAAGCAATGCAGTTGGTGGTAATGATGAGCGTGATGATGGGTGGGCCAATAGGGCCAACCCGTATGTGTGAATGGGGGTATGGATAATTGAACCTGGAAGAGTCCAGGGACCAGGGCTCCGTATTTCCCACTTGTGCGGTCTCTGGAATTGAATGGCAGCCCTCGATGGTGGATGACCTGACAACGCAAACTCAAGCACGGTAACCCTACTGATAGTTGGTGACACAGTGACCAACTTTACCGCTGTCTGCTCGAGCTTTGCGGAACTGGCTTCCGGGTAGGAACGCCCAGATTCATGGGTCGCAGGTTGTTCTGTGAAGGTCGTCGCTCGACAGCATTTGAAGGCTGAAGCTGGCTCTCCGCGACACGCTGGTATTGCGGGGGACTTTCTTCGTCTGTAGGCTTCCCGGGGACCTTCATCATACTCGGGGAGCGTCTCACGGGCGACGCAGGAGGGGATCCGGAATTAGACTCGGGCGGGGTAGTAGGCAGCATGTCAAAGGACTCCGAGGAAGAACGGCCCTCTCGGCTGGGGAGAGCCACAGGACACTCAGCCGCAGAACCATCCTCACGGGCCTTTCCCGATCGGACTGGGGATTTGGCATCAGCTCCAGATTCCATTGCTCGCTGGGAGGAAGAGGCGTCTGGTGGGTGATACTCGCGGCGTGGTCCATCTACTGGGCTAAGATTCTCGGCCATTGCATCCTCATAGCTGGGTGGTGCATCGTCATAGACCGCACCTACTTCAGCAGGCACGGGTCCAGTACTAGGTCGGGGGGCATTGGAGGTCTGCCGGTCTCATTAGAGGTGGGCCAGGAGGGCTGAGATGTTGGTTTGGAAGGCGATGATTGTAACGCCGCAGCCGCCATAGCATCCAGGAGAGCCTGAGGGGGTGCAATTCCAGAGTAGACCTTGACTGGCATTCGCAGGGGAAGAACGATCAGTTGAGGCTATGGCGAAATGATGTTAGCCCAGATTGTCGTAGATCAAAGCTTGATGATTGAAGCCTACCTTCATATTTCCAGGAGTGCCGTGAGTCAGTCCAATTCGTACTTCCAGCTCATAGGTTCTCTCAATATTACATGTCTCGAACGATGGCGCGACTGAGTTAGGAAGTGGTAGGGTACTCCACAACTGCGAGTCGATGTTCCATTCAGTGCCCACCGCATCTCCTGGTTGTCCCAATGCCAGGCCCATATTGCTACGACTCATAACGACCCATGAGCCATTTTCCTGTCGTGCGAGGTCATGCGCGAGAATCTTAGTGTAAGACACGAGTTCAATCTGCAGCATCTGCAAGAAAATGGTTTCCGGCGAATCAGTCATTTTTTTAGCCATAAGGCGAAGCGGGACTGGCTCGTTGCAGGTGAGAATCGAGGGATTTGGAAGCCGGGCCTCGACAGAGACTCGTGGAGGCTCTGTGTCTATCTCTCGGAATGGATTTGTAGACCGATTGAAGATGCTCTTCTTCTGTGGAGCATTTTGGATCTTCGAGAATTGGTGTTGTCGCCGGGCGTATGTTTCCTCATTAAGATTTCCAGTCCTTGGGGGCTCAATAGGCAGGAATTTCAAAGGCACAATCTAGCACATACGTCAGTCGAGCTGGTGGGGCAGCCATGAAAGGTTCTTATTTCAGAATGAACTTACCGCGCGGATATTCTCTTTATAGAACTGAGGCCTGATTATTGTGGCCTTCACAAAATACTCAATTTCGGCCATACCAGGAAACCCGGTCAGGGATGGGGGCAGGGTTTTCTTGACATGTCGGGTGGTGTCGCGGGCCATCTCCACTTTCAGCCCAGTAGTGACAAGGTTGGTGCGCATGCTGTTGGTAGTGCTGCAAGCATTGTTGAAGGGGAACTATTAGAAGGTTACGAGGGCCCCCGGAAGGCATGCATAGGACCAGACAACCAACCTTGAAGTGGAAAGGATATTCATATGATCCGGCTGCAAAGGTGTACGAGGCCGCTGGTGAGCCGGTTTGCATAACAGCCGCCGTGGGGAAGACGGTCGCAACCTTGTATAAGATCTGTCGGCCTAATCAGCAACCATTCCATGCTATGGTGGTACTGAAGTTGTAGCAGTACTGATGCTACGGTCCCCAGTTGTCTCTCACCTTGTGAACCTCCAGCTCCGTCCGTTTCTTGTCCGAGTTGACATTGTGTGGATAGCGAGGACCAGCAAGCCGGGTACGGCTCACGCCCTCCAGCTTGACCTGGATCCCTCCAATTGCAGCTTCGGTGGGCAGCTGCAGCACGACCTTGCCTGAAAGGAAGTCGAGATTGGTATAGTGCGTGTGCCGGCTGTCAAGGAAGATTGTTGCGGACATGGCGGCGAGGGCCCGGGCCCGGAGTCTCCGGTTTTGCTCCGCCGTCGATCGGGTTTGGAGTGACAATCGATGGGTTCGGATGTCTGGAACGGGTTGCGGCGAAAATCGGTCCCCTTTGGCGAGTGAGGAGTGGAGCACGAAATGGTGTTGAAGTGAGATGTCAGACGGGGGGAGGAATGCGGATTAAAAGCAAGGAGCCGGGAATGACGTTTTTTGGGGCCCCTCGGCGGATCAACCGACGCAACAACTGATCTGACTGGGCAACTCCCTAGTTAACTTAACCACAATTCCCGTTGACCCTCTCTGAGGATGCCTAGCAAGGCTAGTTTTCAGGATTTTAAGCTGGAGCTGCGCCTCCTTGAAGCCACTAAGCCACCTTTCCCTTTATCCATGGGTCTTAGGGGGTCCATCCCTAAAGATACGAAATGTAATTAGTTGTCTGATCCAATTCTAGCCTAGTGCCCCGTATAGTGTGGTATTCAAAGACATGGGAGAAAAGCAAGGTTGTATGAACCTAGGTAAATTCTTTTTTCCTTAACGAGACCTGGATACGCTTTGGAATGTTCCAGATGACAGGGAAAGCATGCCGGCTGGTTGCTTCCGGGCTCTAGGCACCAGAATTTCGGCCCAGCCAATGCCTCGTTCTACCGGCATTTCAGCTGCGATATGGGTGATTGCGCCTCGCTTCAACATCAACTAATAGACTATCATGCAGTCGCATGCATCCTGAACGTAAATAGAAACTTCAATGTGTCGAGTTAATAGCATCAGTGGGATTGAATACCGCCATTCGCGGGGCGAGATTTGGCCTGTGCATCGCAGCTTAGAGGCGATCCTTGCTCGATTGATATTATCAATAGTTCTCCATCTTCACGTGAATCGTGCCCCCACCGTGAACAATGAAAATGATTCAAGATTGGTTTCATTTTGTACCGTCTTACCTATCGAATATCAACAAAGAAGCTGCGTGGAAATAACTATGCTGGGTATCTTCAGATCTATCCCACTAACCATAACCACCATTCAAAGGCCCTCCTTCGCCAACATATCTATCCAGCAAGAAAATGTTAAGATCCGCAGAATGAACCAGAATATGAATTCTTCATACCTGCGATGTCCAAATAAAATGCAATGGCGTTAAACTTCCGCGGGTTGCCCGTCACTTCCGCTGCGAGCCACTTCAGCCGATTCGTCCAATTGATTAGGTCGAGATGGCTGACGCCCACCAGCGTCCCCTTGTAGCCCTCTTCGCCACCCCAGTGACTGCTAGCCACGCTGACAAGTCCGTCATTGGGACCTTCTGCTTCAGCGAGGATCCGGTGAGAGAGGCGGAAAACAGACCATATGCTGGGCTGGACAGCGGCCCCATAGGAGAAGTACCTAGTTGCGTAGAGGAGTTAGCTGCAAATCCTGGGGTCAAACTCCATGGACCCTTACCGGACATCATCTATGTCTGGTGTATTCGGGTTGAATGTCTCGGACATATACTTCCTGGTAAGCTGTGCAAAGGCGCCCGTCTCGACATTCAGCTTGTTCAGGGTATAGTAGATCTGAGGCAGGCGGTCGGCTGCATTCACAAATGAGTTTAAGATTCCAAGATTGATGTTTGAATGGCGAGGTCACTGTACCTCCGATTTGGTCGAAACAGTAGTCAGCAACAGCGGAACCTGTTGTGAGCGTGATCAGCGTCTGTCACCAAAGCCCACGGGACTGTACTTTCATACCGCGATGTGGTGTCGCAATAGTGGTGAGTGATAACACTTTGAATTTCTGCGGTTGGAGACGGCTGATCATGTATCTGGAATCAAGGCCACTTTACGACTCGTCGTTAGAATTTAGCTTAAAAAGGCATTTGGTGACGATATCTCACCCCTAAGCCCACATTAGCACCAGATCGATTTCAATCAGCAGATTAGAATGCAGCTTACCATACTATGTCTATGCATAGCTCGCTCCGAATGTCAGCTCCGTGCCCTGCTTATCAGATCTCATGAAACCCACATACGCAATGATATTGACATCCTTCCCCCGCGCCCCAACTTCAATATCCCGCGCCAGCTCCTCTGCACGCTCTTCAATGGAACCCGACGGCGGCACCGTGGCTGTGATAACCTCGATTCCTTGCGCTGACAGCGCTTCCTTGATTCCGCGCCAGTATTGAACGCCCGGGAAGTAGCGGCCGACAAGCCGCAGTTCATCAAAGCCGAGGAGGCCATGGGCTAGGACGACAGGATGTTTTGGGGCGTCTGTGGCGCAGAATATGAGGTTAGCTATCTTCAATGCATGTGGGAGCATTTGGAATGTTGCGAACCGTATCGGTCTCGGAGAACCGAGTACTGATCGTGGATTACTCGGCCATGGTCCTCCAAGCGCGGCTCGAGGATGGAATTCTGGTTGCGTTGGGACAGGTGATACGCTCGACGTGTTGGAATGTGGCTTTTCTGACGGGAGAAATGCCAGGCCAGTGGTCTCCTGGCTATTCCTGAGATAGCAGCCGCATATCCCATCGCGTTCTCATCTGCGCGACGCAGTTGCAGCTACTCGGAGATGACGCAACAGGGAAACATTCGCGCGTGCCTCAGGCTGCCATCCGGGGTAACTGGACAGTCAACCTAGTCTAACCAAGGTAATTACGTAGTGCTTGTCGGCACTGGTTGGGGTCTATCTAGCTTTTATTTCTAGTTCAATTTTATAACTTAACGGTATACTTCTCTGATATGAGGTCGGGAAATGAAGGAGTAACACTTCTATCTAGTGTCCAATTCCTACCAATGGTGCCCCTGCAACATCGAGCGGCATGTACAACTCGACCATGGATAGATGGGTACATCTACGTTTCGATCAAGCGAAATATCGAATCTGGACCTGCATAGAGCAAGCCATAGACTTAGCCTAGTAAAAGATATAATCGTATTTCTCGAAGATTGGATATCGATGAACAGCCGCGAAAGCGCATCTTTCTGGCAACATTCGAAGTAAAGGAGAACAAAGAATCCGATATATTCATCTCTAAACCTGCACAATCTTCTCGGGCACCTCGGGCTTCACATCGGTCGTCGCCTTGATCAGGTCTTCCACAACCTTGTCGCCATGCTTCTTGCCAGCGGCCTGGATCTCCTTCAGCTTCTCCTCAGCCTCCTTGCTGGCATCTTCTTCCGCCTTCTTGAATCCGCTGGAGTGCTGAGGAAACACAAGTGAATTAGTAGGATTTTCTTTTATCCACGATGGCACATGCACTGGCATCCGGGGTATCGAATCTCACCTCGGCCTCGAACTTCTTGTATTCTTCCTCCTTCTGGTTGCGGTACTCTTCAATTTCTTTCTGAGCCTCCGCCTTTGCGTCTCTTATCCGCTTTGTGCGATCTGTAGTAAGAGAATGTCAGGTTGTGAGCGCACGTCTATCGGGGAACTCTCAATCTCGTACATTCTCGGGCTGTAGATGATCGAGCATGTCAGTATCGGGCGGAACCCAGTGGCAAGAGACGAGTATATGTGAGTCACTTACATTGCTGCACAATCTTCTGAGCCTCTCTCTCGGCCTGCAAGCAGGATTAGCACACTTGATCGGTGGTCAGCCTGCCGGTGACACCTACGTCGAGGAGGGTCTGAATGCCCGCGGAGTTCTGAGCCGACTATTCAACGGACATCAATCAGCATGGGAGAAACACCCCAAATTTCTCTGGAAATATAAACTCACCATATTTGCCCGCGATCCCTCTTAAAAGGTGGTGTATAGAGGTGACGGGGGAACGATAATGGAGCGACGAGGGACCGGAGCTCCGAGCTCGATCAGCCACGCATGGCCCCCCAAGGCGGTGGGGAAGTGTACTGCCAGCCCCCTCCGCCCCGATGAACCGGTAATCCTCCGCGCAGTTTTGGCTAATCAAGAGGTCCAGGCTTGCCTCATCAACCATTAGAGACTTTTCCGTTGCCCTTGTGCATATTCTTGTCGCCCAATTTCCCATGTCTCGCGCATCGAAGCTGACCCTGGCCGCCACCGGCCTGGGTACCGCAGGCATTGTCTGCTTTGTGCATTGGGCTCAAGAGCAAGACAGGGCGGTACGTGCAAAACTTAAGTCTCACCTGAAAGCATGCTAACTTTTGATTGATTTTATAGGCTATGCACAGGGGAGTGGAACGAGACATGGAAAAGCAACGTATCCGTCAAGAGCGACAAGCCGAGTTCGAGATGCAAAAGCGCCTTGAGGAGGAATATCTCAAGCTCCAGACCGTTCACAGCACAACCGACAATGCGAACCCGACCGGCACAAATACAAGTACGGGGTCATTATAACAAGGTGTGGATTGCGGCTTGTCGAATCTCGAATCTTCTTCGCTCCGTGATCCCGGTTAGCCTTGAGTGCATACTTGGTGGGTCCCTACTTTGCTGAGAGAACTGCTTCCAATGGCCAAGTAAGCGCTTACCGAAACATCTAGGAAGTTTGAATTCCTTGGAAATGTATAAGTTATTGTATAAAGTTGGGGCCGTGTACGATATACCCTGATGTATTATATTCCAATCATGAACTCGTCTCTACTTGCCAACCAATGCTGTAAAATAATGATGCCATAAGGTATTCTTTAAAGGAGAAGTATTCAAAGGCATGCGTAATAAAATTTCCTTACGCTAAATGCCCACACTGCGTATTCACGCTTATCTTGAGTCAAACAATGAAGCCCTTACGTGAAAGGGTAGATGAATGGACAGCAGTCTATCTCAACCAGAATGGTAGAATAAGACTAGAGGAAGCAAGTAAGAATTGATAAGCTCATGCTTTGTTTGCCTGGCTGTTCTAATTACAAAAATATCCCGGCGGGTTTCTAATCCGTACATTGCCTGTTAAAAGTTAAACTGACCAATAGGCTACCAAGACACTTTGCCTCATCTATGACAATCACTTGTACATAAATTATATAAGATATCTTTTTTATATCTTACCTAGGCGTATATGAATGGACTAGTTATTATTTTCGCGACATCTAGTAATGGCGACAACCTTTACATCACACCTGACACTGCAATAGGTGAAGTAGACAAGGGTTATATCATCTATATGCTCCTGAAAACAGGCTAAATAGACTAAAACCCCGATTCACGGTAATCATGTCCATAAATCATCGAAACCACCTATCGTACAGTCTGAAAGAAGTACAGTCAGCGTTCATTAGTATTTGGAACATGCTACATGCCCCATTTATGTTTCTGCTAGTGGGCGGAAGTACTATGTTCGAAATACTAATGAACGGCCCACTGTATATAAAATCGGGCCGACACCTAACAAAGGCCGGTTATTATCGGAGGCCGGCTGAATTCCGGCCTCCGGGCACTAAGAAAGTCTAAAATGGTGTTATCGGCGAATCAGCATGCGGGATTTCGGCCTCCAGGCTTGGCATAGGGTGGAATATAGAGGTACAGGGATGACCTGCTCGAAGGAAAACGACTCCTATTGATCTTACTCTGCAGGGCTGGTGGCGAATTTCTAATCGGAAGGAGTCCATAGGTTGGATCTGCAACGCTTCTACTCTGAGTAAGCCCCTACTGTCGTAAAAGAGGGATTGCGCGGCTCCCTTGTCCACTGCTGGAACGGGCTTAGCGCGTCCCCGTGACCACTCGCTGCCCTTCTTTGCTGGGCGTTTGTATAGAGCATCTGGATAGACAAGATGAGGACAAAACATCTTATTTCGACCTGAAGTATAGGTATAGGTGCCCTCAATTCACCTCGGAACTGTTCAAACTATCTGAACCCACTCTAATGCCCGGTGTCACAGGATCCACGCTAAGTTGTGTTATCTTTCGTAATGGTGGACAAGAGGCCGGAATTGATACCGGCCTTTGACTATTATAAGAACGCGCTCCTTTCCCGCCTCAATGCCCGTTATTTTTGCTTTTCTCTTCATCTCCCAAGAAGCTTGTTTTCTTCACCTATCCTTTTGACCCGTTTCCCCTGGTGTCTTGGTTCCTGACTTGGTTTCTCGCCTTGGGACTTAGCCTTTATATCCCTTCCACACCCAAATCTTCCCTTACTAAGGCACTCTGCCTTCCACTACCGAGAACTAAAGATCTCTTTGCACCACTAGCTTTTGGTCTTAGCCTTCTATCATCATTATGACTCGGACTCAAGTTCCTTTCCCTTCCCCTGCTACCCTGAAGCGGTTCCCTCATATCCATGATGACCCTTCAACCTTGTCTCATACCCTGGACCCCTTCACCATCACCACCTCATCTGGCTTCCTGCCCTACCAAACTGCCCCCACAGACCTACCTGAGGTCTTCAAGCCTCTTGTCTCCTTGCTCGAACGTCTTCCTGTCGTCAAGGCTGATGGAACGCCTGGCCTGCTGGCCACTTACGAGCTCGGCCCTGCCACGGAAGCCGAGCTCCCTGACCTGACTGATGAGGTTGAGAAGCTTGTCCTCACTGATGGGGAGTGGGATCGCTTCACCATTACTGCCGTCTTTCGTGACTACACCTTCCTGGCCTCGTCGTACCTGCTCGAGCCTTGCTGGGAGTCCTGGTGCACGTCCGCGGACCGGGGCTATGGTCTGGGTCGGGATGTGTTGCCGAAGTCTGTTGCTCGCCCTATGTATCGTTGCGCTCAGATGTACGTCGTCTGTTCCCTCTTAACCTTCCCCCCCTTTATCTCTCTTATGTCCCGTCCACCATGGCCGGATATAGATGCATTTATGTCTCATCGTATAAGCATGTGCTAACCCTTATATATAGTCTGGACCTGCCGCCTTTCATGTCCTACGCAGCTTCTTATGCTCTATTTAACTACACCGTCACCGATCACACCAAGGGCCTTGAAGAGTACTCTAACCTGCGCCTGGTGCGCGCCTTCGAGCGTGGCCTTGACCCGAAGAGCTCTGAGGCTGGCTTCATCCTGACCCACGTCGACATGGTCAAGGAGACTGGCTCACTCATTTCCGGCGCGCTCAGAGTGATTGATACACTTGAGCAGCAAGGTCCTCGCACTGACATCAATGATGGCTTCCGCGAGATCCTGCAAGCCATGGAGAAGATCGAGGCGTCCATGGAAGGTATGGCCGTATCTCCGAACGCTGTCAGATTTACCTAGAGCTAGACTGACATCTTAATAGACATGTGGGCTAACTCCAAGCCCTCCGAGTACCTCTCCTTCCGCGTCTTTATCTTCGGCATCACCTCGCAATCGATGTTCCCGAACGGCGTGATCTACGACGGCGTCGAAGACAACAAGCCGCTCTTCTTCCGCGGCGAGAGCGGCGCCAACGACAGCATCGTAAGCACCCCAACCAAGCTCAGTGTTCCGATGCCCTCACAAATCCCACTAACCATCTACCCCCTGCCATATAGATTCCCCTCCTGGACCACCTCTGTCAAATTCCCATGCCCTCCACCCCCCTCACCAAGATCCTCCACGAGTTCCGCGCCTACCGTCCGCTCCCACACCGCGAGTTCCTGACCTACGTCCGTGAGAAGGCCGAGGAAATTGGTGTACAGGAGTACTCTGTGCAAGACTCCGAGACAGCAGTGCTGTTCCTGAGGACACTGAATCATGTGCGCAGCTTCCGCTGGCGCCATTGGTTGTTCGCGCGAGAGTACATCATCCGCCGCACGCCGCATCCTACCGCCACTGGCGGCAGCCCCATTGTGACGGTAAGTCCCAGAATCACGAGTCTATGTACAAGATGATGAGAAGAGAAGCTAACGATGATTGCATAGTGGCTGCCCAACCAGCTATCCGCCGTTATGGACCTGATGGTCTCTATCTATGACCGCTACCTTGCGCCGAAGGAAGGTGCGGCGACGATGAACGGCCAGGAGGATCTGATTGCCTCGCATCGGAAACAGGTCGAGCCGATGATGGAGCTTGTGCGTGATCAGAAGGACAAGTTAGCGAAGGAGGTGGAGCGGTGGTGCCAGGAGCGTGGGGTTTAGATGTTCTTTTTTTCTTCCCTTTTCACATATTTGTCTCTTCTGAACATAAAAGAACGCCGATGATGTTTACTGTAGATACAATTTAACACGATTTACGTATACTTTGGGACATTGTTTCATATTTCTTCTAATTGTAGGTTTGGTCAAGTTTCGCTGCCCGGAGAGAGAGCAGGATGATTGCAGTCACACCGCTTCACCGCCAGGACTGTATTCCACGGCATGGCCACGAAAACATGGAACTGTGGTGTTCGAGCAGATACACCACCCACCGGCTGGAGTCGGTGTGTGTGAAAGTTTCATTGAGTGCCAATGCTCAGTCTTTCCCCGCTTCGCAGTTGACCGCCAACCCGCAAGGCCTGTCCCTTCATGCTATCGGAATAAGAACGGGCGAGGGGACGATCTGACCGGGATAGCGAGACCAAATCGGGTGCGATGTCCCTGCTTTGATGAGACAAAGAGGCCCGTGCCAGACAGGCGTCTGAAAAGCAGAACTACCTGGTAGTCCCTATCAAGACCGGCATCAGAATGGACACCCGATGTGCTTTGCCCCTCGTTTGCTGGTAGTTATGGCTGCACGAACGCACTGTGCCGACTAAGGCAAGTTTTTGTTGTTGTCTCGCACCCCTTTTATTTCAGGTAATCACTTCCAGTCCCCTCTCTCGCCCATAAGCCACAGCATCCGAGGAGACGCTTTCACAGCCTCGGACAAATAGCCGGTCGAGTTTAGCACCGTCGCGAGAGTCAGAGGCCCGCGCATCAGCGAAAAGACGGATAGTCACACCCGTGATCTGTGTGTAGGACAGGTTGAGCACTTTCAGATCTAGAAACAACGTATAGAGACGCCGTGCACCGGCATCGTCCACGCCGCGCATGTGGGTAAGGCTAAGCTCCGCCATCTTCTCCAGCTCGGGGTTTGGCACCTCCTGGCTTTCGACCATGGCGACGAGATCATAGATGGTTAGGTTAAAACATTCGTTGAGAAACAGTGTCCGGATCGGAGCTTGGGCGTCGTTGAGAAAGACCGGGAGGGTTTGGTTCGTGATGAACCCCGTATCGATGAATATTAGTGTGTGCAGGTTCGGAAGCGTCCCTTCTCGCAGCTCCAGGTATGTAGGCCGCCGGGCTGATCCGCCTTGAACATGGATGTGTTCGATGCTGCTCGGGAGAATGGCGCAGAAGTCCTGCTCGATCGTTTTCCCGCGTAGTTCTAGCCGACGGAGCGGTGGGATATGACGGTCAGGACCATCGGGGAAGGTGTATATGCTATGAACTGCTGGATCGAAGTCAAGGCGTAATTCTTCCAAATTCGGGTATACAGGTGATTCGCTATTCTATAGATGCGTCATTAGTACAGGGTCAGAAGGCTCCAAGGATGGAAAGACGTACTTCCATAAGCGCCGGCACAGATAGTACAGGCATATGCTGTGTTGTTGGTTGGGCCACGTTTTGTCTTGAGGCCAGCGTAATGCTTTTCAGGTTTGGAAGGGACTTGGGCCACTGTCCAGAGTTGTAGAACTCCATATTTGAGCTTTTGACATTCCACAGCGCGATGCGCTCGAGATTTGGCAGAGCAACTAAAAGCCTGCCTAAGTAGTCATGGGAGACAGGCAAGTCTGCGGAGAGGATGAGGCTCTTTAACCTCTTGCTGCCTTTGAATTTCTGGTAGAAGTCCTTGCAATCATGGGACGCCCAGAGCTCAAGATGTTCAAGGCGTGGGCAACGGCTCAGGAATTCCAAGGTTTTGGGTGTCGAAGTTGTGGCTAGGTTTTTGATAGTGGCATGGGTAAGCATTGCCTTTGAGCGCCGAATGTATGACCTGACTGCCGTCCATGACACTTTCCCACGGGCTCCAGTGAGGTCGATATGCATCCACAGGTTGGTCATGGAGCCGAAAAACCGCTCCCAATCTTTGCAAACACGTAAAATTCCGCTGCGGACTCTAATTAGCAATCGCAGTGAAATTGGTCAGAAACCCGGCAAGGACTCACGCAATCTGTTTGAAGGAAAATTGCTGAACCACCAGCACCGCAATTTCGAGTGGTAGCATGGTGAACGGGTCTCGACGATTGAGGAGCATGCGGTCCTCTAATTTCTTATGCAATTGCTGCAGCATCTAAACGTGGACGATCAGTATATTCTAACTGAACAAGCACTTTCTGTGGCGACAAACCTCCCGTCGCGGATGCTCACTCGGGAGCATTTTCAAGCCATAAGCATAAATCTCCTGGGCCTTTTCTGGCTTTCCCTCGAGGAGAAGTACCTTGGCACATCGTAGGTATCCCTGATCCAAGGTGAGATTCCATCGTATAGAACCAGGCAGCAGGGCACTTACTCGCTCATCATCTTTAGCCTTTTTGATCATTTGTTTTGCATCGCGACGTGCTTGGTCATACTGTTCCAGCTTGCAAAAAGTAGCAGAACGATTGTCCAGGACACCAATTACATCCACATTGGGCTGCCTCAATGCCTTCGAATAGCGATCATTAGCATTAGCTGCCCGTTTAGGTTAGAATGGAAATGGTGCTACCTCGTCAAAGGCCGCGATCGCGCCTTTGAAGTCCCCCTTCTGGTAAAGCTTCTGGCCCCTTTGTTGCAAGGCTGAGACTACAGGAGGCATGGTTTCTGATCGCACACAGTGACATGACAGATGAATTCGAATTCTGCTATCGACGTGTTGACGAGCCACGCTCTCTTCAAAGCGCGTTCGGCGATCGGCACGTGCCTTGCGGTGTTGGCTCCCCTGCCCCGCCGGAATGGCCCATGTTTACTTTCTTCCGCTTTGGATCATCCATAGCTCTACGCAATAGCAACGGGCGCCATGGAAGCGCAGAACTTGCAGGCCGCATCGACTTATGTCAACAACCTCCTGCTCGCTCGGGGCCTATTGAAGAGTGGCCAGGCGATCGATTTTGCCGATCCCGACAACCATGAAGGCGGAGCCGAGGCCACGATGGCGCGGGTGATTAACCTGGTCAACGATCTGGTTTTGAGGAGAGACGTCAGTCGCAGCTCGCTATTCCGTGGCGTAAATTAGCTGACAGATCTTTTTAGCGTGAGGCCGAACACCGTGAGAGCTTAGCGACAACGATTCGGACGTTGCGAGCCAGCGAGTCGGAGCAGACGATGGAAATTGTACGTCCAGTGTTTACAACGACAGAAGGGAACAGCGGACTCATTTTATCTTGCTCGACAGGGAAAATTAAAGACAAAAGCATCAGAATTAACCCGATCGCTCGCTCTCGCCGAGGCCTCGGAGCGGGCGCTCAAGTTAAATATGTCCAGCGCCGAGGCCACGATTCGCGGACTCAAGGAACAAGTGCAGCGCATGAAAACCACGGTTCAACAGGTCCGGGCGCAATGTGCCAACGACATCCGCAAGCGGGATCTCGAGATGCAGAGACTCAAGTCACACCTAGCCGAGCGACAACGGGGAAAGCGCGAGGGGCTGAGTGTCACTACCATCAACATCAACGCTGCCGCAAAGGGGTCGCAATTGCGAGCGAGTGGCGGAGAACGGGTCAACGAGCCTGAATACAGCCTACAGCAGGAGACGACCGAATTCTTGACGGAACTATGCCAGAACCTCAGCGACGAGAACGACACGCTGATCGAGCTTGCGCGGAACACGGTGGCGACGCTGAAGGAGCTACAAGGGCTGCCGCAGGGCGAGGAGAAGGATGGTGAGGATGAAGCCTCGGTAATGACTGCCAGTGTCGGGCCGCAGAAGCCATCCTCCGCCGTGACTACACTTCCTACATCATGCGAGGAGCTGTCCATCCGCATGGACACCGTACTGGATCACCTGCGGACACTATTGACCAACCCGTCGTTTGTGCCTCTGGAGGAAGTTGAGATCCGAGACGAGGAAATCGGACGACTGCGCGAAGGCTGGGAAAAGATGGAGAACCGCTGGAAGCAAGCTGTTTCCATGATGGATGGGTGGCAGCGACGACTTGCAGATGGGGGTGATTCGGTGCGGGTGGAAGAGCTGAAGCGCGGCATGAACCTCGATCTGAGTTTCAGCTCCTCCGTGGAGGATGCCCGTATGCAGAGTCGGCTAGAGAGCAGTAACATCTCTCCGATTCTGGAGGATCAGCAGGAGGAGGAACGAGAGGAAGAAATGGGCGAGTCCGAAGACCGGGCGCCAGAACCAGACACATCGAATCCACCACAGACCCGATCGAAGATCCGCAAAGTGCCCGAGCGGTCCGATCGAGCTTTGCGGGAGCGCAGCGACAATGCGGCTGCTGCCAGGCCCAAGCGGCTCCGAAAAGTGTCATTCACCCCCGGCCTACAAGGATCTCCTTGCGAGCCCCCCAGCACCCACGACGAAGAGACCCTGCAAATCAAAGCGCATAAGTCAGATGCTGTGACTCGCCGGCCTTCGCGACTAAAGGTCGAGCCCAACTCGACTCGCCAGGTGAGTAGAATCCAGAACCGAGTGAAAATGAACAACGGGGTGGGTCCAATACTAACACGCTGGCCATCGCAGATCAACGGCAAAGACTCGCAACTGAGCATCTCGCAGAAACTCGCCGTCGTCGAAGATGAAGCGCGTCTCGCCGAACAGTCGCGCAAAGAGCGCGAGACGCGAAAGCGAAACCGGCCAGAAAAGGCGTCCAGCCGGTCTGGCAATCGGCGACGGAGTACTCTGACGAGCGATGAGCTGGACGATCTCATGCGCGTTGCGCGATGAAAAGCTGCCTGATGAGGATTTGATTTGGATTTGCCTTACCTTTTAATCTGCACCCTGTACATATACATTGGATGAGCGAGCATTGTAAATAAGGAGTCGCTGTGTTTCGTTTGGTGCTGTCTTCGTTGCTGCGCGGCTGTCCAAATCCATTCCATTTCCGGTTGTCAACCTCGGCTCATTTGAGCTCGGTTCTCCGCAGTCTGTTCAGATGTCAATTCGGTGATTCAGATCGGCCTGCGGAAGCCCCTTTCTGCTTGTGCTCCTTGTTCCTCTGTAACACATGAGTCTCACCGCCATCTCCCTCTCCCGCTCCTTTGCTTCTTGATTTCCTATCCCCTCGTCAACTCAAATCGCATTACCTCCGCGCCAGGCACTCCGCACTCCGCACTCCGCACACCCCCACACCACAACACCAGCTCCGCGAAGAAGCACCCAATTGCAACACAATCACCAAGATCTGATTTCCCCATCCAAACCGTCCCAAAATGAGCTCCTCCTCCAATGAACCACCCGCCCAAACCTTCACAGGCTGGGTCGCCCACGACGCCACAAACCCCCTCACCTACACCACCTTCACGCCCAAGCCCTTCACAGAAACCGACATCGAGATCCGCGTCACACACTGCGGCATCTGCGGCACAGATGTGCACACTCTCCGCTCTGGCTGGGGCCCAACCGACTACCCCTGCGTAGTCGGCCACGAAATTATCGGCATAGTAGAGCGCGTCGGCGCCGCCGTGCCAACCCTCCACTCCTCCCCCGCCTCAGCATCCATCCGCATCGGCGACCGCGTCGGCGTCGGCGCACAGAGCATGTCCTGTCTCCGGCCGGACTGTGAGGCCTGCGCAGACGGGCAGGAGAGCTACTGCGCGCGCATCACGGGCACATACAACGGGCGGTACGCAGACCAGAGCAAGTCGTACGGCGGATTCGCGAGTCGGTGGCGCGGGCCAGCGCACTTCGTCTTCCAGATCCCAGATGCGCTGCCCAGCGCCGAGGCTGCGCCGCTGCTCTGCGGGGGCGTGACTGTTTACGCGCCGCTGCGCAAGTACGGCGCCGGCGCGGGGAAGACAGTGGGCGTAGTGGGTATTGGCGGACTGGGCCATTTGGGGATTCTGTTTGCGCGGGCGCTGGGGGCGGACCGAGTCGTTGCGATTTCGCGGTCTTCGAGTAAGCGGGCGGATGCGTTGCAGGGACTGGGCGCGGATGCGTTTATTGCTACTGGTGAGGAGAAGGGGTGGGCGAAGACGCACTCGCGGAGCATCGATATTCTCTTGTGCACCGTGTCTGGACCGGGAATGCCGCTGGGCCAGTATTTGCGGCTGCTGAAGCGGGATGGGACCTTCGTGCAGGTGGGGGCGCCGGAGGAGGCGCTGCCGCCGCTGATGGCGTTTTCGCTGATCCAGAAGAGTGTGAAGGTTACCGGGTCGAATATTGGGTCGCCGGAGGATATTCGGCAGATGTTGCGGCTGGCGGCGGAGAAGAGGGTATTGCCTTGGATTCAGAAGAGGCCGATGGATGATGTGAACGCGGCGTTGAAGGATATGCATGATGGGCGGGCGAGGTATCGGTATGTGCTGGAGAATGGTGATGCCCAGGCGAAGCTGTAAGCGCGGGTGGTGTATGAGTATGATGGCCATGGGAGTAAGTGGTAAGGTATGTTTAGTGTAGCGGGGAGTTTGGGGTCAATTAGTCCGGGGTGGAAGTGAGAAGTGGACGGTTGGGTGTGTGTCTTGAGGAACATGGACGAGAACCTCGTGAACACAAGTCATGATGTTATGCTCCACCACTAGCTGTGTCGCCATTTCTCAACATGTATTTGATTCTACGCTGCAAAACATAGAATAAAACAAGCCGCGAACTCACCTGCCTATCAACTTGCAGAGAACACCCCCCATTGGCCGTCCGATCTCCAAGGGTGCAGCCATCCACGCGGGCCGCGGTGGAGAACGGTCTGCTTTCCACGCGACAAGCTCCTCGCCGCTAGGCTGAATACGGCAATAGTGCGAATGTCCAGTCAGCGAGATCAAGATCCCAGCCGACCATGTATCTCCACCTCCACCACAGGCGCAGGCCAAGGTTCGGCCAGGCTATAGCAGTGATTACCACGAGAACATGCAGCTACCTTTCCAACCCAACCTTCCCATAGATCTACGCGCAGGGGACTTTCGGAGTTTCGAGCATTTGAACACGTACAAGAGTGGGTAATTAGCAAAATCGAGCCCGTTACCACCTATTCCACAAAAGCGCCCACAGCCCCGCGCGGGCATTCTATCATCGAAGCCGATCCACTTCATCCCGCCCGGCAGACCCTGCCGGCCATGGCCATCCGCACATGGTCTCTGTCGCCGATGGAACCTGTGTCTGCCTGCCCATACGCTCCCATTCCATCCGATCCCTGCCCACCACGCCATTGCGAATATTGATTTGTATGTCATCTCCATCCAAGCGGGCGGATGTTTCGGGCGCATTGGTCCACGCAGTGCGCGGTAGGACCTATCTCATTCAGAGGACGCAACTGTATATTGTGCTACCACTGTCCGCTGCGAGTTCACGTGTGGCACTGAGGCTAGTGATCCTGTTGGTGAAGGGAAGGGTTTGCTTGCTAGGGTCCGCCGGGGGAGGAGGGCTTTTGCTGGTGGGGCGTGTAGTACAGGCTTCGGGTGGTATCCCTTGTGTTTCTTTTGTGGTTGGTGATATTTCGCGACCTGGTGGGACACTTTCGGTCCTTCGAGTTTTTCCCAACGCGGCGGTGCTTCAGGCCCGTCTGCGCTGCCATCCCGCCCAACTCTGATGGACCGCGTCTCGTGACGAAACATATGCGCGCGCTGCACGAGCTGCCTTCTCGTTCTCGTTCGGTTGATTATACGTGTCGTGGAGTATATCCAGGGCACGGACGTTTCATCGTGAGCAATTCGATTTTGAAGTAGGATTTTGGTGTTGCTGACAGCGGTTGTGCTGCCGGTTATTTTTGCAGGATTCATCTCAACGAACTCAGTTGGTTGGTTAGATGGGAGGGTTGGCTCGACGAAGGCGGATTGGGTGTTGTCAGCGCGTCGCGGCAGGTAGAAAAGCCATGATTCGGTGAGATCAGCAAAGGGAAAGTGGGACATTCCAAGGGCGTGCTTGTGGTTTCGTTTCGACTGCTGTGATTGTGCGCATCCCATGTCATATCAGTTTCCAGTCAAGGCCCTCCATGACCTGCACACCGCGGTAACTCTGTCGCGCTGGTCAGGCATTCTCACAGCGAGTCCACCTGCTGCAGATAACTGTCGCCCAAAATGCGCCTCATAGCCCAGTGCACCAGCGGTCGCCACTGATCATCCAGAATTGCCCACACGGCCTTCGCAACCCGGACACACCACTCATCAAAGCACCAACGGTGCTTGAGATGCTGCAAGAGCACGCCATAGTGGACTAACATAACGAGGGCCATCGGTTCCCGCTCGCGGAGCAAGTCGAGGAAGCGCGAGGGCAACTTGATGGCCCATCGGCCGGCAATCACGCTGGACGTCATCCCGCCATGCACCCAGCTGAGCATCTCTGCCATGTTGTCGATCGTGGCGGTGTAGACCTCGGTCTTGTGGTTCTGGTCGCGCGCGCCGCAGATCTCATTGGCTTCGTGCAGCTCATTGATGGCGGCTGTTGCATCGTCCGGGAGCGGCGCGTGGACTTCCTCCACTTGCAGAATAGGCGCGAAATTGGAGTGGCTGAGATAGTCTGCTGGCGAGCGGATGACCTGCTGCACGCCGCGGGTGAGCACCAGCACTTGGTATAGGTCGTCCACGCAGGTCCAAGGATCCTGTACATCGGGCGTGTGCGGGAAGCCGAAGGTATAGACGACGACGATGCCGGCAAAGGCAAACATGGCCTTTGCATTCGACTCGCTGATGTCCCCCAGCAGCTCGCGGAACAGCGCGAGTGCCTCGTTTTGATGCGCGACAGCGCGATTGAGATATGCTGCACGCCGCGAAGGCTCGGGCCCCGTGCGAGCTAGATGCAGCGCCGACAAAGCCAGGATGCCGTGCATCAGGAACGGGTGCGAGAGGGCCTCTTCGGGCACGGCGTTTCGCCAGACGAGATCTGTGCGGTCATTGCGAGAAAGCGTGAGGTAAGTGGAATTGCACCAGTGCATCATGAGCTCCAGGTCATGCAGGTTGAGCGAGATGGGCGTGGCGACCGTCGAGCTATCGCCGCTGAGCCGGCCCAGGATGCCGAGCGAGTCGGCGGCCGGAGGGCTTCCGAGGACAGAATCGCCTGGCTGGCCGCTGTCTGAGCCTGACGTCCGAGATGACTGGCGAGCCACGGAAGGCTCTTCATTTGCCCAGAGCAGCGAGCTGGAGGAGCCATACTCGCACTCCGCATGGCGCTTGGCACAATTGGAGCAGGTCGGTCTGGCTTCATCGCACTGCAGAGGGAGAGAAGAGAGATATAATTAGAAAGTCCAGTCCGTTGAATTGAATGCGTCTCACGCGAGCCCGTACCTTGACTCGTCGGCGCTTGCATTCCATACAGCCGTGGCGGGATTTGCGATGAGGTCGACGGAGCGCCATGGTTATGCAAATGCAAGCAGTCGAATCGTCGCCATGATCTGGAGAAGAATTGCGGCCCTTGCAAGTGAGTATGAGAAATGCTTGGTTATAACGGAAAAAAGTAGTTAAAATTTTAATTTTGCTTGTGTGTCCAGCCAGATTCCTGGCACTGAGGCTGGGCGTGGGCGTGGGCGTAGGCAACAAGATTCGCACTTCGCATACTTTAAAGAACGGGGTCTGTGAGTGGACGGACTATACGCTTACCTAAGGGCAGAACCCTGTCGATCAAACAAACCGCGAAAATGCTTGTCGCCCAATTGTGAAACACTGTCTTGCCTCGCTTCGCGAGCCCTTGCTATTGCTCGGTCTGGACTTCGGGGTTGGCTTGGTCGGGCCTTATTTGTGCTGGGCATGACTTCGGGCGGAGCTGATTGGACACGCCCCATGCAGCTAGCAGCGTGGGGGCTAATCGTCTCGTGGTATCATGCAACGCACATTACAGACCAAGGATGAGTCGTGCGACGGAGGCTCGATGACGAGGGCGAGTTGAGGTTGTACGGTCATACGACAGCAGCATGGTGAATGGTATAAATGTCATCGTAATCACAGTCGTGAGGCCCTCCCGTACTCCGTACACGGGCCTCCACAGACCCAGAGTATAAACGTACCAAGCCCCTCCATCCCCACGGCACTAGGTCGTCACTTGGTATAAACGTGCCGGTTTTCATCACAACAGCGGTCTTGGCCCCTCCCTCTGATCCTCCTTTCTGGTGATTCACGGTCTCAAGCGCCCCCTCCTCCTCCTCCTCCACCACCACCGCCGCCCCCACCGGCAGCAGCTCTGGATCGTGTGGCTTTTTCGCGCAAGGCTAGCCCGCTCAGCAGCACCATGAGCTGGAATTGTTCGCCATACTGGGCATAGAGGTCCAATTGCCCAGCCCTCTTGGAGAAAGCAGTGCCCGACGAGAAGACCGCCACTACCCGCTCTGAATCGTCCACTAGCTTCAGGGCCCCGGCGCCTGACCCCATCGCATGCGTCCGTTTCCAGGTAAACGTGCGAGGCTGCCGGTCGCCCACGCTCATCCGGAAGGAATAGCGCACCGACATCATTCCTTCACGGTTGAGACGTACCCATGCCATCGTCTGGGGGGAGTTAGGGTTGCCCAGCCCGACCTCTGTGTCGGATGAGAAGTGTCGGTATTTACAGACGCCTGCGACGGGCGCGTTGTTGTCGGCGCCGGCGTGGAAGGTTAGGTCGGGCTTGCCTGGGGTCAGGTGTGAGTTGTCCACGTGATAGATGTGTTTCCCGCCGGTGGTGACTTTGTAGTCGTGGCGCCAGAGCCCGCGGGTGATGGAGTATTGTGCCGAGGGGCTCGATCCGTGTCCGGGCATGCTTGCTCGTGGTGGGCTGGGTCTCGGTGTATACGGTAGCTGCGACGTACGTAGTATACAATGAAGTTCTATGGTTCACGTAGGCACGGAAGCATTAGAGAAGTACTTGGTAGGTGATGCTGCTCTGGAGAGACCGAGAGCATGCTACTCTTATATGTCTAATCTGGTGCTCGTACGTACGTGCTGCGGCCATACTAAAATAAGATCGTCTAGGACATGGCAAGGCTGAGGTCGCCCAGAGCGGACCATGATACTTGGTCAGGTCAAGATCAGCGACCGCGGGGACAGGCTAGCCCCAGCTGGCTGGCGCCCGAAATCTGGCAGGGCAGTGCTGGACGCCAATCACGTAGGCCCCCAAGACAGGCAACATACTCGACCTGCGGCTGATCAGGTGAGTGACCAGGGGATGATCACGTGATAGAAATTCGTCACAGGTCACCTGATCAGAGACAGTTGTTAAGTCACGTGATATGAGATTTCGCGGGCGCTTCTCAGGCGCGTCGGAGAGGAGGACTGCCAACGATCAGAAAAAACATCCCGGCATATCGCCAGATGATGGATCGCGTATAACACACCGACCTGTCTCTGACTCTTCTCTATCCTCTGGTGCCACCTGACTTTCACTCAGAGCGCCATTGCCCCTTCCTTGACTCCGTGACCGTCTGCTGCAGCTGTGACGGCCCAAAAGTTGCTTTCCTCTCCCTGCATGCTATTGACCCATCTCTCGACTCTGTGATCTACCACCACCACCGCCACCACCGCCCAACATGACGTTCAAGGTTCCGTACGAATCAAGTCCGCCGCCCTCCACACCAGACAAGACCAAAGGACAGAGTTTCTGGAGCAATGTCTCCACGACACCCGCCGGCCCGCCGCCATCGACGGCAAACTCGTTCACACCGCAAGGGCACCCGCCATCTACCGCCTTTGGAACTTCACAGTTAGAGTCGCATTCGAAGGTCAACTTTGGCCAATCTACCAATTCACTGTTCACCAAGTCCGGGGGGTTCAAGACAGGCGACAGCATCTTCGGTTCCTCCTTCGGATCGGACTTTGGCTTGCCCAAAACAACACAGGCGCCCGCCGCCAGACCCCTCGCACCCACACCGTCGCAGGGCCGATTCGGCGCCGCGACGAACGGGGTCTCATTTGGGCGCTCCGTGACTTTTGGACAATCTAATGGTTTCGGTTCGTCCCAGTACGAGGACTATGACGAAGAAGGGGAAGAAGAGATGGAGCCGGAGGAAGAGGAGATGGAGGAGGAAGAGTATGAGGAGAGGCTAGAGGATGAAGACGCGGAAGGCGATCTCGATATGAGCACACAGCAATCATCCAACCGGCTTAGCTTCTTGGACTCCAATTTTGGGAACCCGTTGCCGACACAATCCCCCGAGCTCCAGCAGCGCAAACCTATCTACTCGAACCCTACCGATGCGAAACGCCCGAAACTCGACGAACGCTGGGCCAACCAGTCCCCGCTGCGTAAGACCAAACTGTCCCCCAAGAAGGCCTCCGCAATGCCCTCTATCCTGCACAACCTGGCCACCAGATCCCGAGTGCCGACTGTTGACGAGCCCGCGGATATGCTTATCAACACGGAGGATACGCTCGGCCGATTATACGACGAGCTTCGGGATGCAGAGTATCGACATATCGACCTTGATGCTCTCCTTGCCCACATTGCGAACAAGCTTGCCGCAACTTGGGATACATGTGCCGACCGGAGCGGAATTTCCAGACCTTATGGGGTTGGATCAAGCATTGGCCCTGGAGAGCAGGCCCCGAACCTGGTCAAGGCTAGCTTTCTGGCCTCGCTGTTGCTCCAAATTCACCACCCCTCCCGAGGATCTGCTCCCATTGCCAGCGCCTCGAACCCCGCTGCGCGCGTGGCGCCCAACAGCATGGTCAAGGCCATGCAGCGTGCCAGTGTGGCCACTCCGCTCCCCCAAATCTTACTCGACTGGCTAAATGGAAACCACGCGTCTCAGACTAATGATTTACAGGCGCTGCGGTACGTGGAGCCCAACCCAACCGCCTCTTCAAATTTCTGGGATATTATCAACTCAGCTGTGCTTCGCGGCCGCTTTGCCGAGGCGGCGGAGATTCTTCGCTCCGCTGACTTCAATTACGCCCGATCCGCTCTGGAAGATGGTTTGCCCCAGCCGGGCTATCGTGGTATGCAGTTGCAGAACATCCAGCGATGTGTCAACAAGGCTCTTGAAATCCTAGACTCCTGTCCCGGATTCCAAGACGATGACTGGGACATCACGGGGCCCGACTGGACCGAGTATCGCCAGCGCGTCCTGTCAGCTGTTAATGACCTTGAAGAGTTTGCTGAGGGCGAGGAGCGAGACCAGGTAGACCTACCTGTGCAAGACAACCGGTTCCAGGCCGTGAACTTCGGGCTGTCGCACTTGGCTCAGGGCCAGAACCGGATGAGCTTCACGCAGTCTGCGCGCATGGCCGAGAGCCGCGTACCGTGGACGATCTACCAGAGCCTGAGATCGCTCTACCGAATTATTCTTGGCGACACGGCCACTATTAAGGCTAACTCGCAAGACTGGGTCGAGGCGACCATAGGTCTGACCGCGTGGTGGGATGGCGAGGACGACGATGGTCTTCCAGGTCTTGATTTCCGCGCCAGCACGTCCAGCAATGACTTCCAGCGCACACGCGGATCCAGGAACCAGCTCCGAGCTGTGGACCGCAACATGCGGGACGCGTATCTGCGCCGCTTGGATCTGGCCTTCAGTAGCGCCACGAATGAGCCGTCCGACGATGCCGGGTTCCGCGTTAATACTATGAACGGCTTGGAGGTTGGCCTGGCTTCGATTTTTGAGGGCAATGTGCAGGGTGTTCTGGAACTGCTGCAGTCGTGGTCTCTCTGCGTCGCATCGGCGGTCACAGAGGTTGCCAGTCTGGGAGGCTGGTTCGAGTCTCATTCTGAGCAGAAAATGCCCCTTCTCAGCGAAAATGATTTGATGGTTCTTTCTTATGGGCAGGATAACAGGCCTGCTTCCCCTGGACTCAATAGGGATGAGATCCTGCGGACTTATGCGTTCGGACTTAATGAACGCGGCTCTATTGAGAACGAGACTGGTGCTCGTGACGGCTGGGAAATGGCTCTCGAGGTGCTGAGCCGACTGCACGATGTGGACTTGATGAAGAAGGCCGTTTCGGAGGTCGTGACCAAGCTGCCGCTGGATAATACTACTCAGCTGGACAAGTTGGTCGTGTTGTGCACGGATCTGGGTTTGGAGGAACAAGGGCGCAAGGTCTCCGAGGTATGTTCTTGGCCCCACCCGAAGCAGTTCTGGCAGCAAGGCCCGTATTGACCATTCTTACAGCGTTTTGGTGATATGACAACCGACAGCTCTGAAAACTACGGTCTGGCCCTCGTGTGCTATGCCCGTGCTCAGAACCGCCGCAAGGTCAAGGCGGTCGTGGAGCTGCTCATTTCCTTCAGTCTGGTGCAGTCTCGCGCCTACCCTGCCCACGCAGATCTAGACCCAGAGCTTCGGTCTATGCTGAAGGACCCCAAGACCTGTCTGTCGTCCATCGCATCCGTGGACGAGGAAGCTGCGCGTATTCTCCAATTTTACCTCAGCGGCTATGCAACGCTTCGCCGATACTATGAGATCCGAGACGAAGCACTAGATTTGCAGGAGGGCCAGCGCCCGCGCTTCAAGCCGCTTGCTCGCCGGCGCGCAGCCGCCAAGGCTCTCGCGGCAGTCATTAGTAGTGCTGCCGACAACATCTACGGAGGACTGTATGATCCGCACCGCGACTCGGCTGTGCAGGTGGACGGGCTGATGGCACTGTTGGGCGAGGCACTAGTATTTGTGCACCGTGAGTTCCCATCATCGCTCTCTCCAAGCCAACCCCATCAGAGTACTGTTACTAACCTCATCAGAACCCACCCCCATTCTCACCGTCTCCCAACAATTCACCATCCTCTCCGCAATCGAGGACCTCGAAACCGTCACACCCCGCGTCTACGCCCAATGCGAAGAATGCTTCCACTCGACCCTCGTCTCCGCCACTCAACCCGCCAACAGCCACGCTCCACCCTCCCCACGCGCCTTGCTGAAGAAATCCGTCTCCTCCCTCTCAGCATCGACATTCTCCATCATCGGCACAGACATACTCGAGTCCGCGCGCACCCGCTCCGGCTCCGGCTCGGATCCGGCGTCCACGGGTAGCTCAGGTGTGCTTGTCCCGCGCCCCAGCGAGAAGGACCAGGTTGCGGGCCGAGCCCGTGGATGGGACTGGCGAGTGGGCCTGCCCGAGGCTACGAAGGGCGCGGACGTGCTTCGTATGTTGAGATTGGGCTTAGCGCGTGGATTGAGCTTTAGCGCTCTGGGGTCCGTTTAAGGACGGGACCGAGAAGCAGCAGCACCGGGACCCGGGACCAGGACCAGGACCAGGACCAGGACCAGGACCAGGACCAGGACCAGCTGAACGACCCCGGCCATCCGGATTATGTATGACTAGTTCTGGCGTTAGCTTCTATTTTTCGACCGCGTGGCATCTCAGCATGGAATATTCGCATTAGTTCAGCCATGTCCCTTGGGATCTTGTTCGCATTGTCTCGGGGGTTGGCACGGCCAGTACAATATCCCAATTCGCATTCAATAAACGCTGCTGGTATACCACCATTGGCCAGTTTAATATTAAATTGACCAATGAACCATGAAGTACCCGCATATGACATTCTCTTTTTTATACTAGTATGATTCCCAAATCCGTAGCTGCAAAGAATGCTCCAACCTGCTGGCCGGGCCAGCTGCTGCCCCTCCGTAGTGCGGGCGGCATCGCGTAATCAGCCCGTCCATCCACGCGGCAGCCCTGACAAAAGTACTCTCTCTCCCCTCTGCCATCCCAGCTGAAGCATGTTTCATCGTCAACCCCTTCCAATCAGCACCCGTGGACTCACGAGCCCCAACCCCACGAACTCGACGACCCAAGGTTCGTCCCAAAATGAGTCTCGACACGACGGCCAGTCAACCGTCAGCAGCTGAATACGGGGGCCTAGTCCGCTCCACCGGGAGGACCGTCGCGACCGGGCCAGAGAATGAAACACAGACACCGCTGGAATCGCGGTCCTTTTCAATACCATGAACCCCTTTACTATGAGAGTATCCATATCGCAAGACGGTGTACATAGCAAGCACCGCGGGCTCCGAATCAACGACTCGGTACAGCACCATATCCACAATGGTGCATGATCACACTCTCCAGTGAGGCGCAGTCCCAGCGCCCGATGATTCATCCGATCGACACCCTCGAAAGCAGGGAAAAAGGTCCACGCTAACTAGTTAGCGACACACTAACTCGTTAGCGTGCGAGTAAAGGACCCAGAGCCCCACCTACCCAATCCCCTCTGGTCGAGTCTGCCTTCCCCAGCCTCACGCCATGTGGCCGGTGGTGACCCTCACCGACAGTCGCTGCGAAAAGCTGCCTGCCCGGCACCCGTCTTAACGGTGCATTCACCGTCTCTGCGGCTTGGCTGGGCCCCCAGCCACAGGCGCGCCGCGCGCGAACACTCTCTTCTGACGTGAACTGCTGTTCCTGCGACTGCTGCTGCCTCCCCTGCACTATTATTGGGAGCCGCACACGTCCAGTGTGGTCCCCGTGGGGCTGACAGGATGTGGATTCCTATTTCTTCTGCTTGACAAGGGCAGCGTTGCTGCACAGGGACCAGCTAGTCCGATTTCAGCGCGAGCTCGAGCATGTTACTAACTTTTCCAGCTTGGTTCAAGCCCGTCGCACTACTCCAGCTGCCAAATGCAGTATCTGACGGAGATAGAGGGCCTGCGACGCTGTAATCACCCTCGGCCATCCCCACCGTGTTGCCAATTACAGAAACATGCTGGTGCTAGTGTCCCCCGTTTCTCAGGCGTTTGGGACCGCAGTGGGGACTCGGCTAGTTGCACAAAGCATGATGCTCCAGTCACGAGCGAACCCAAGCTCGGCTCATAGTCCTTCAGCTCACACTCGCATTCGCCGATTGGCGCGATCCTGTCGGTGATTTCCGAGTGGGCCCTTTGCCTTGGCCTTCGCTGCCTGGGGCGCCCACCGTAGGGCTGGCCGTTGCGGGATGCCTTGCAGCTGGGAATGGATCGACGCCTTTGCTTGAGCGTTTCGACATGGATTGTATATAACGCCCCGAAGTCGGCAATAGTCGACACTCTCTCTCCACTTTCCTCTTCATCAGTCTCGCCCTTCGTTACCACGATTCTTTCTTTCGTGTCTCCGGACGACCCTTTGTTTTCATTTCCTTTCATTCGTTCCAGTTTCCATTCTCTACCTAATCATCCGGGGCGGGTTCTCGACGCTCTCTTCGACTACCGCCTTCCTTGCATATCCATCAACCTGGGTCCATCGTTTTGCATTCCATTTGCATCGAGCATATCCCATCACTTCAATTCAAACCCAACTCACCTCTTCTCTACTCAATCCAACCTAACAACTGCGCAAGCGTCATCTCCGTATCCACCAATTGCCCCGCCAAACAGCAACAATGTGCTACAAAGTCGTTGAACGCTATTCCGTCTGCAAATGTGTTTACTTCCAACACTCCATTGACCCCTGCTCCGCCTACGGACAACGCGGCCACTCCGTCCAAGAGAAGACCGTGCTGGTCGGGTACGCCTGCTCGCGGCATTCCGCACGGGGCGCGTCCTCCTCGCCCAACGCTGGCCGTGGGCCTGATTCCGGCTATTCCAGTTCTAAGGGGTCATATCGATAGTCGAGAGTTGCGGGATCTGGCAGTCTGCTGGGTAGACTGCGGGACCAAGGCCTCACCGATGACTGTGACTGTGATTATTATTATGACCGCGACGAGGGAACGGAATCCAACCAGAAAATTACGAGGATCAGGATGAATGGGACGACACGACCGGAGGCCGATGCCCGCCACGAATGCCCTCGAGGTATAGACGAACTAACGGACAAACAAACACCGCCGCTCTCTGCGAGATCCGGCTATGTATAATTCCATATCTCACGTGCCGCCGACCCTCGCGCGAAACCCGCCAGTGCAGGCCACTACATTATCAGCAACCCGGTCCCAGGGGGATCGGATCGGAGCAGATCGTTGATCGATCAGTCCGGCCCGTGAGCGCATCGCAGTGATAAACCGCAGGCGCACTATTACCGCGATGTGTGACGACGCTCCAAGGGCGGCACAGGCAATCGCAAACTAAAGACACCGCGGGGACGGCTATGTATACTACTTCGATTTATCTCTCGCCTTGGCTGGATCTGAGTAAGAGGTGGGTCTGACCAGGCTCTGGCAGCCTGGGCTGTTATTGATCTTTGATTCTTGATCTTTGATCTTTCATTTTGCTGTCGGCGGGCTCGGCGGTGATTGCTAGCATGTACGTGTACTAGAGCGCGCGGCATTGGGTAAAACAAGAGCGTTTTGACTTTCTTTAAGATTTCGGGTGGTTTGAATTTGCATTTTTCTGATATTTTTGAACTTGCTATGTTGATCTGGGACTCTAAACACAATATCAAAGGGAGAAAGTTGGCGTATAGGAGACAATGTCAAATGCGAGATGATCCAACATTTATACTAAACAGGCATGCCCGCTAGCAGCGACGGCCGCAGCACTTGATATATCGGAGTAGCGGCCATACTTGGAAGTGCCGTCTGAAACCTAGCCACTCTACAAACGGGCCTAGAATACTGTGTAGTTATATGTTCTATTATTTGCCGGAGCTACGGGTTGCTCACAGTCGGCCACTATAAGACATTGAAGTAATTTACCTCCTATGTCGCATTGCGGCATGCCGTCTTCAGGCTGCCAAATTACCTAGAAAAGACAGAGACATAACCAATTAGAGCGGGTCTTGTCTCGGTTATACCAAGATTGGTTCAGCGGAGTATTGTTTCGGTTGAATGCAGATCTTATCAGATCTTGTTTCCATGCATCACTTTTCGGGATTTCTTAATTTCGTGGAAATGTCGAGGCTTATGAGCCACAGTGGATTCTTGATGATCCGTCCATAACCTCTGTGTGTGTTTGTGTGTGTGTGTGTGAGAGAGAGAGAGAGAGAGAGAGAGAGAGAGAGACCCATTATACTCTGCTACATCTCCGTACGGCGATATGTCAGAGTTGCCAGTGGCCGCTGGAGAACTAAGTACAAAGTCATAACCTTCGAGGAATTATGAATCGAGCGCGACACGGGGGTATCTGTTATTTACTAAAGCCCCGTCTGGGTGTTACCAACCCCGGTCGACAGAAAAGAAGCGCATTGTCTTTCTGCTTTCATCTCCCTCTGGCCCTGAATTTCTCGATTTATGCTCGCCGGTCCTCTTCATCTCCATTTCCCTGTTTCCAGATAAAAGGAAAATGGAGAGCATTCCTACACGGGCCGAGTGTAAGAGCAAAAAAAAAAAAAAGAAGGGGGCCTTCCAGAGAGCTAGGTTCGTATAGCAGCAGGGCCGCAGCTCAGCTAATTAATATAAACAGGGGAAAGTTCAAAAGAATGGGGCAATATCGACATGATACCCCGTCTCTTAGTCCAGCAGATCCACTGTAGTACTAGGCTCATGCAATATCAGGACATTGGCCCTCCAACGGTGATAGTGAGAAGTGTGGGGTTCGGATCATAAAGAAGACCAGAGGCGTTTGGCGCGCCATCAGGAGTCACGTCATCATAAGGAAAAGCATATCCCTTCCCATCGGCCTCATACTGATGGACAATCTTGGTGTAGTAGTTTGTTGGTGATATCGTGTAGTAACAACTTGCGTCGAGGCTCGGTTGCATATTACCACCGCTGAGTAAAAGGGTTGACCGGTTAATTGCGGCGCAGAGACGAGGCACGATAGCTCGATGGACGTCATTATCGGTGGCCTCGATTGCAAATGGACCATCGTTGCATCCAAATATATCTCTGGCGGCTGGCTGTGAGTAGCCTCGGTTGTCGCCTGCGCAATTAAAAACACCGTCTTGCACTGTACAGTCTACCAGGCCAGCTGAAGTCTGGGTGTCAAAGGTCAGGGTCGTAGTCTCGTACATAGACCAGGACTGAGAGACGTAGTCCATCCAGTAGGAATCAAAGGCGGTCGGGAACAGGTTTATGTAGTTGTAGGGAGAAATCACGCGGAGAATATTGCCGCTGTTGTCAATCATGCAGAGCTCGCTCCAGGGCCGGCCGTCTGAGTATGATTGTGCCGTCAAGGCATCGCAGATAGAGGATAAAGCATTTGTAGTCACACCGAGAGCTGTTTGGGTGCCATCACTTCCCTGGACCTCAATACCAAGTGGGAGACCAATGAAGTCAACATAGCTGAGGTTGACCGTAATTCCCCTAGAGTCTGTTGTGAGCTCGACGAACCCCCAGTTGACATCTGCACTAGGATCGTATGGGTCGACTGCAGATGGTTCGACAAGGGATAGCACACCAGTGGCAGCTAGCACAGTAAAGAAACTCAGCTCACCGTCGGCGACCCAAACGCGACCTGAAGACACATAGGTCGGAAGAGTGATAGAAGTGGTCGTTCCATAGGCACCAATAGGGATGGCAATGCCTTCCGTGATTTGTTCAGGCACTGTGGCTTCACTGTTTCTTGGTGGAGTGTACCAATTCCCACCAGGTGTGAGTAGGACAATTTCCCCGTTGGAATCAAGTCCAGTGACATAGACATTGACACGATCACTGTTGAAGTTGTTGTACACTGAGATTGAGAGCTCCTCAGATTCAGCAGCTGAGTGGGCAGCAGCCGGCTTGCTGGTAGACTTCGCCTCACTGATAGTATCATGCGACGTGATGACAAGATTATTCGCACTACCAGGGTGGACTATGATAGGAACGGCCAAAGTATGACCTATAAGCGCTGCAATAGTTGCTGCCACAAGACTTGAAAAGATACGCATCGTGATCAATGCCTGAAGCAGCACACCCCAAATCAATATTTTAATTATTTCAGAGGGAATAACTGAGGCTATATATACATTCTCGATGACGACCCTGCACATTCCGACACGCACGGACCAAGGTACAGCATTCCTTGAGCGAAGTGTTGAGTGGAGGCTACATGTACCGTTAAACACTAATAGCGCTAGGCCCGCACTAAAGTATGTGACAAAACTCAGAATCAAGTTAAAGGCAATCTTTCAGAGTCCCGCAGGAGAATCTATCTGAACACTTAGCTTTTTTCGTGATGCGATAGTTGTGCATCCCAATTGGACCTTTGAATCTCGCGTACAGAGAGTGCCAGCACTACCTTGTTGTGATCTGAGGCTGGTGCAGATCAGGAACAAAGCCGCACAATCGGAAATAATTCCCGTGTCTATACGAAGAACCAAGTTGATTGAAAATCAACTTGAACCTCTCGTTGTATATATAGCCTCAATTATTCCCTCCGAAATAATTAATCAATCTTCCTTTTGAACTAACACTACTCAATACGAATTCTGCTACGGCCAGCCGTTTCGGCTATCTGAGAGATATTCAGGCCTCCTACAGTCAGAGGGTTCGCAGAATGGGCTATGCATACCGACGCAATGGGGAATGGAATAATTGGGCATAGAGACCAGACTCTCAAATCTGCGAAATGTCGACTGTCTGTCAGACAAGTAGGTCTTATTGTGTAATATAGTTCGGGAGGTAGTTGTTTGTCTTCTTATATATTGTACTTGAATTCAAATGGTAATTGTTGGAACCTCCCCCGCGCTGGCTCCGTGTATCGCGGAAGGCATCTTCAAAGTCTACCATGATAGCCAGTGATTAATCCAACGGAACCCAGGGGGACATCATAATGAGAACTACTCAATACTATATGGTAGCGAGACTGGAAAACAATTCGTGGATGTAGCTTTCTTCATTGCATTGCACTTGAAAGTCTCCACTCCATAAAGGAAACGGTTGGACGAGAGTGATGGCTATGAAAGGATCAATACCCTCGGGGTCTAGAACCAAATAAACAGTACTGAGAATAGTAGAAATGGGTAACCCCCAGCCACTTATCCCATTAGGGCCTGTAGCAGTCACAATTGCTCACCTCACTATGACCTCTGCTGATATGAACGGTATGTATATGGGTTCGGAGTTTGTCGTTTCGGTTGAACTTCTTGCCACAGTAGGAAATGGGACACTTGAATGAGCCCAGACAGACGTGGATGCATTTGATGTGTCGCCATAGACATCCAGTGCGTTTAAAACCCTTGGTATTTGTGCAGCCTATCCAGCCACATTTGTAAGGACGACAGGCTTCATCGCTAAGACTGAGTTAGTTCTGGATCGGAAAAGACGATACGAATAGTAGGAACCCGACATGAAAATACTCACCTCGCATATTTCTCCCGAACATGATGCACCCGGCCAGCGGGACAAACATCAACTTGGGCCAGCCCATCTGCTGCTTCGTTCGCTGGAGGTTTGTCGATACTACAAGCATTGGATGCATGTTCAAGCCATGGGCCAGTGGAATGTCCAATGGGTGCCGGAGAGACACTCAGGTCTTGGTAGCCATCCACATTGGACGGGTAGGCGGCGGAGTTGGATAGAAGGTAAGCTGGAGCAATTTCTAGGAAAGACTCATTGTAGTCCACATTCAGAGGAAGGGTCCTATCCGGTTCGCTCTCGAGAGGTGAGCAGGAAACCGACATCGAGTTAAATGGGTGCGCTGTCACAGGATGGAGTTCCTTCGTGGCACGCTGGTGAAACTGGTCGGATTTGGGAAAAACGCCAAGGAAGAAAAGAATGCAGAAATGTCCCGTTATGATTGAGCTTGAGAAGCTTTTTGGATTCTCTCGCAGAGGAAGTGCGAGGAAAGTGCGAGGAAAGGCCTTTTATATGGCAGGGGGACGAGAGCGAATTCCGTAAACGGATTTTGTGGGTTGTCGATATGTCGAGGTGAAGACAGGGCGGGATTCCGAGGTGCGGGTGGGCGAGGGTCGACCGGGCGTCACTCATCCCAGAGAGTCTTGCGAATAGCCATCACTCTGGACATATCTATACCTGGACACTAAAAAGAAAAATCACCTGTGGTGCATGGGGCGGTAAGATAGGTTCGCCTCCCCAGAAAAACAGGCCAAGATCAATGGCTGGGCCACGCATCGGCCCACCCTCGGCTTTCACCAAATCTTTCAATAGAGGATGTCGCAAATCAAGTTGGGGCCGATGCTGCTCGTCCAGCAGGAGGAGTAAGATTAACTACCGCAAATCACGAGCAATACCCGCACAGTAGAATGCTTATGCATTATGTATTGAGAACGGTGTGGGGGTAGCAAGCGGATATGACCGAAAGGAACGGACCAGGCAACCAGTAAATTGAGGACCAAAGCCACAAAAATACGCGATATCTACCGGTAAATTAAATGGTCAGGGCCTTATAGTAGCGCCATAGTGACTGGTTGGACGAGTCGACCTCCGAATGAGGAAGCCGCTTTAACACATTCCTGTTCAGGTTTAGAGCGGGCTTCGACCGCACACCAAAGCCTACCGTTTCAGTTTCCCTGAACGGTCACGAACAAAACTCTGCACATTGGATTAAGTGAAAGCCAGGATCTATAACATGCTTTAAGAGAGGTATTAAGAGAAGCATGCAGAATAAGATCAACTCAGAGACCAAAAATAATTTAACAGAATAAATAATGGAAAATGGTGTTCGTCATGCCATGAAAAAGGGTGTTGCAAGAGACTTGATGCGAACGCGCGGTTTCCACAGGAAGGCTTCCTGCGAGATCGGTAGTACCCGTGCGCGTACACATCGCTCTATTCTTGGAGCGAACATGCCGAAGGAGACGGAGAGGGGGAGAAAATATCAGGTAAAAAAGAAACGACACGAGACGAATAGGCCAAAAAGGCCGACGTTCGCCTCCAGAATTCTACGATTATATGAAATAAAAAGGGAACATCACAAACGCAATAGAACAGGCTGATGATTAAACATTTGTATATGATCTATTTTCATTTCACTCTATCAACCCTTAGCAGCTACTGCTAATCCACTCATCTATCCTCCCCAGGCACTCCCCCGAACTGCCACCACGCACACCCGCAACCCGCCCCGCTCGGAAAAGCCGAGCTCCCCCATCTCTCCAGTCCGGGAGTCTGCCGACGACCAAGCTATAAAGCTTGCCGGCGGCCATTATGCCGATCAGAAGTCACGGCCCGCCATTTTCACTCTCAGTAACTGCCACCATGTCCCTTGAAACCCCACTTACTGTCCTCTACAAAGAGGCCAACAGCAGCAATATTACCACTGACGTCTATCTCCCGCCCAGCACCTCGGCTTCACCGCAGAAGTATCCTGTCGGTGGGTCTCTTCTTATCCCTGCACGAAAACTGTACCTACAGATCGAAGGCTACACCTTCAATATCATATAGAGGATTAGGCTAACTGAAACTACTGAAACTCAGTTATCGACATTCATGGCGGCGCCTTCATGCTTGGCCACTCGCGCATGGTCTCCCTATCGCAGGTCAATGACTGCCTCGAGCGCGGCTGGATCGTGCTCGTCCCCAACCACCGGCTATGTCCCGGGGTGGACGTACTTGACGGGCCGATGCAAGATATCCGTGACCTGCTGTCATGGGTATATGATGGGCATTTGGACGCCATTCTCGCAGATCAGGGGGGCTACCGTGCGGATTTGGAGAATGTCGCTGCGTTTGGGACGTCTTCGGGGGGAACGCTGGCACTAGGCCTGGTAAGTGGTCAAGTCACTGATAACCCTCTAGTCTCAGCATGCCATGTCATAAATTCTGGTTGGATGTATACTAACCATACACAGGCCTTCAATGTACCGAAACCCGCCAAAGCCATCCTCTCCCTCTACGGTGCCGTCCACTTCACAGACCCTTTCTGGACCAAGTCCCTGCCGCACGTCGCCGCAAAAATTCCCCCCAACTTGACCGAGGAGTTCCTCAACAAGATCTATGATGAGCATCCCGTCCCGACGGACAGCTCCGTCTCTCTAGAAGGCCAAACCGAGTCGGGGGCCTCCAAGGGCCCCAATTTCTCACAGCCCCGAGACGCGTTCGCCTTCACGCAGATTGCCTCAGGCACTGTGCTCTCCGCAATCTACCCGGACTCGAAGAGCACCGATCCGGACTTTAAGAAGATAGACCCGGTGCAGAATGTCTCGCCGATCTTCCCCCCAACATATATCGTTCACGGGATGGCGGATACAATGGTTCCGGTTGAATTGAGCCGAGAGCTGTTCAAGAGGCTTCAGGATGCAGGAGTTCCCTGTGGTATGACAGAGGTCCCCGGAGAGGAGCACACGTTTGCGTCGATGATGAAGGTTGGATCGCAGACGTGGTGGTTGCAGAGGAAGGGGTTTGACTTTTTGGAAGGTGTTATTGGTAAAGGGCCGCAATAGATGCCGTATCAAATTGAGTCACCGACCAGAATAAGCAGAAAAGCCACAGTAATTCGTCCGGTATCATTCCTTCCAAGCTTCAGATACAACTTATTAACGTAAGCGTCAAACACCTAGAGTAATTACACCTCCAGAAAAGCAGGAAAGTAAAGTGTTCACGCAGCAGGGGGAGTAGACTCAACCTGCTCAACATGCTCAACATGCTTTGTCCATCCATTTTGATCTCCGATTCCATAAACTGTCCTCCTCGCAGTGTTTTTGAATGAGCAAGTACCAGCCACCAATGCCTGAGCTCCCAAAACAAGTTGCTTATGTCCTCGAGCGAGATGCCTTTAGTTTTGGGGAAGATATGAACAGAATGACAGAGATCAATGACAGTGTGGTCAATGCAATAGCCATATTTAGTGAGAAGAAAGCAATTGGTATTGTTCTCACTATGAGGGAGACCAACATGGTGCATCAACAAATATCAATCCCATCGTCAAATATCAATCGCATCGTCAAAGACCACAGGCATCAGCGAAGATCACAGGCATCAGCGAAGATCACACGCATCATCAAATATCAATCGCATCGTCAAATATCAATCACATCGTCATCACATGCACCGTCGAGCACTATAGGCATCAGCGAAGATCACACGCATCAACAAGGGGAGTCGTAGACACCAACACGGCGTTTTCCTTAAATTGAAGTCGATTCACCAGACTGAACTTCCCCTCGTCGCCCATCCTCCATCACCACAATTTACCACACTTGCAAAAAAAAACATTCCCATCACTCATCCATCCAAGGTATGCTTGAGGCTCCTACTTCAACCCTTCCAGTGTCTCGATCGTATCTAATCCGAGCCAGACCTTGCTTGAAAACTCAAGATGTGCTTCCGCTACGTCTACATCCTCAGATTCGTTGCTTGCAAGGAACGCCCGAGACACGTCATCACGGAATCCGTTGACCAGCCGCCATGTGGCAAGGCGAATTGCACTGGATACAAGGACAAGATAGTGGTCGATAATACCGTACCTCGAGGAGAATGCCCTGACTGTTGAGGATTACGATGCTCGACCTCCCGGTTTCTCTATGCATGTATGCCATTTTCTCCGGCTGCATAAGCTGCCAATGATGGCATAGTCTACCTTACTTGCTTTACTTGCTTTACTTGTTTCATTTTCGGAATTGCTGCTGGCTTTATCTTCGTCTCAGTTATCCTATCAATTCAGAAGAATATCAATCGTCCGCCTTATGATTAGTTTTGCCTTCATAAACCTAGAATATTATGGAATCTCATGAAAAAGCAGGAAACAATTCAAAGGATGACTGTTTAAAGATGTAAGTTGTGAAGCGATTCTCGAATACAGTTCAGCGGCTGTGGCTACCTAGGTGGCTTGAATAAGAGACAGATCAGAAACAATGTCAGCAGCCTGCCGATACTGCTGCTTCCAACATTTTTCTGTAATTTGGGAGCAAGGGTGATTTTCGTTCGGGAAGTGCCCACTTTGGAAGCGTGACACGATCTCTTCCTCATCGTCCCAGTTGTGAAGTTCGGGAAAGACCTCATGTCCGGTCATGATGAAGTAGATAGCGGAGCCAAGCGCAAAGATATCAGTTTCCACATCTGCATAATCCCGACTGGCTCGAGGCAGGGATGCCTTTGTGGACTCCGAAGAAAGCCCATCCAGTAATATGTCGCCATCAACGGACTTCAGCATCCCCTGAAAGTCTGCAAGTAATAAATTGAGATCCCCATCGAGCAGAAAATTCCGAAGGTTTATGTCACAATGAATGACACGTTTTCCATGGATGTAACTGATTGCTTCAGCAGCTTGTTTGCACCAGAGTAATTTCCTATCGAAAGGTATGAACGACTGTGATGTGATGTAGTCGGACACAGAACCGTTCGATGCACGCTGCAGAACAAGGCCATGCTCCGTCAGACCTTTTGAAGCGATGATACGGGGATGGCTTCCAAGAATGTCAAGAATCCGAGCCTCGGTTTGAATCCTCGCAAGGTCACCAGGAACGTGTGGATATTTCAAAACCGTAAACTCATCAATGACACCGATCCAAACCATGAAACCGTGACCGATAATCTCCGAAACCCCTGGGGGGTAATAATGGCGCACTGTGATGTATCGAATATGGGAGTCATCATTTGGATGTTCTGTGTTTTCAGCTCCGCCGTCCTATATCCGTAAGCAATCATCGAAGTCAACAAATGCCCTTGCAACTTACAATTGCTGAAGTCGGTGGAGAATACGTATCCAACGCTTTAGAATCACTGGCATGTTTTGTCCAACTTCGCAACGCCTTGAATACTGGACCAGATACAGTCCCCAGGGGATACCATATTGCTTGGAACAGATAAAAAGTCCGGGAAGAAAGCATCCGTAAGATAGATGACATGTTTGCGAAGGGGAGATGTGAAGGAGCCTTTGGCAGGAGTGCAAACTATGCAAACTGTGTCGAAGCACAAGCACAGATAAGACAGTGGGTGACGGAGGGAGATTGTGGACTCGGTGCCAAGATGGTGGTGGATCCCTTGGTCTGGCCAATCGGGTCCGCCACCGATCGAGTGCCTTGTGGTCAGATCTCTCGAATAGATACCCTGAAGCTGGAGAACATCAGATCCGACTTGTGAATGTCCACAGAACAATGGGAATGAGGAACTGACAGTTGATATTGATGAAGACTGATCTCTGGGGTTGCGAGGGAGAGAGAGAACCGAAGACCTTGGGAAAGAACCTGGGGAAGTAGGCCACAGGCTGATTTAGTCACATGATTTTCACGTGATCACATTAATGAGAGTGTGATCTAGAGCCGCAACTCTCACGTGATGATACTAGACCAAAAAGGTCCGAGGACAATCTGACCTTCCCTCAACAGCCCTTTGCTGAACAGCAGGTTCCTGAAATATCTGATGCGCGTTCCAGGCTCTTTCGCACAAAGACTGAAACTTGAATCTGAAATTCGGGGCCTAACCATCCGTTGTGGAGTGCCCGCTCTTCGGCACAATGAAGAACGGGATGCAGTTTTACAATTACTCGCAGAAGAGGCTAAAAGTAGACTAATGAAGCTCCTGCTAGCGAGCAGTAGTGCTCAGGCGGACCCGAAGAAAAGAGCGGTCGCACGCAGCTTCATGTGAACATGAACTAGTAGTGGAGCTACTGCTGGAACGAGACGACGTGGAGATCACTTAAAGATTATGTCGCACAAATTTATGGGGCATAATACCGCTAGACTAAAAATGCAGCGTGGGCAACATTCTCAGTCTATACGGTCATTTTCCATTTCGACATATTATAGTCAGTCACCGTGCTCGTACGGCCCGCTACGATATAAAAATACATGAATGCATTACGTAAATAGCACTTGTTAGTTATTTGGAAATACTGCATATCATGATTCCGATAAGTAGGTTCATGGGAACTCTTCAAAACCAATTGATAGATGCCAACTCGAATACTCCTAGAGACAAGCCAGACCGGACCCCTTTTCTCCTGGAACCAAGTCTCCCAGTCGTCTCATGAAAGCACGGAGAAATCAAACTGGATGAATGTGATTTCGGATGTTTCTTCATCGCCCAGAGCAATTGTGTCCTTCAACTGAACCACGCCATGCAATCTCGATCGGTAATCAGGGGGAACCCAAAGGATCCTAATACCATCTTTATACACCCAGTCATTATAGAGAAGCAGTCCAGTCTGATCAGAAATTGCTACACAGTGGTGGCAGTTATGATCCAAGAGGTCTGCACCAGCGTCAAATATACCGTCGCTGGGACTTTGCAAAAAGAATCCCTTCTCTGGGCTGAAGCATTCGGAGTCGAGATCCAGAAAATGACCACTATTGAATTTCAGATAACGGCCGTCCTCAGAAAACGAAACGGTAGTGAACTCCGCACAGAACCAATGAAGCGGGGACATGCTCATTCTTTCCAGGTTCAAAACCAACACCAAGGCCTCTGAGCTGTGGTCTGAGTGATAAACCAACGCGATAGAGTTTTCATCGGGCGAAACCTCTAAGAATTTGACGATAAGCTCCAAGCCGGTGACCTTAAAAGGTCAACTCACCAGTGGTGGTGTCCCATACCCAGAGCTCGTCACGAGTAGAGCTCGCAAGGACGCCGCCATCGGGTGAGAAAGCCACGGCACCAAAAAAATCAGACCTGCAAGACTGTGAAGTGTCTGTTTGACCTTGCCAGATGCTCTGTCCCAAATCCGCACCTGTGATGAGGTTGTGGCCAGTGTCTTGCCGTTCGGTAACCAGGCGATGCCCACTCCCCCTCCAAATCAATGTCCCAGATTTCGTTCTTCTTCTCACCAGTTGCGACATCCCAGAACTGGATGCTACCCCTTGGCTTTGAGATTATTGATGCCACTTCACTTCCGTCTGGTGAGAAGGCATGAATCCAGAGTGGGACACCAAATCGGGGAGTCCATGTTGCGTTCCCTGATGCTGGATTCCAGAGTTGACCGGCCATTTCCATCATACCATGCGACGACTCATCGCTATTCTGAACGACCTCCTTCTCCCCATCAAATGGGATCCTGATGACCCGGATTTGGTTCAAGGAGAATCGGAAACCCAACATCTTCCCATCCGCAGAGAACACAATAGGATCGTAAATGCTACCAACAAAGAACTTCTGCCTCTCTTCCAACGTCTTCGTGTCCAGCAGCTTAACTATCCGGCTGCCCGTGACTGTTGCTAGAAGTCTCCCATCGGGCGCGAATACAATGTTTTCGCGAAGAAAGCCTCCAGAGAGAGTATCGCTAAGCATCTCTTTGCCTGTGAACACATCCCAGAGACGCAGAGTTCCATCGACGCTAATCGAGGCTAGTATATTGCCATCTGGTGCGAATGCAACGTCGAATATCCAGTCGGTGTGGCCCTTCAGTATCTGCTTCTCCATGCCTGTCAAAGTGGTCCACAGTTGAATATCGAAATTCACCCCATGATTCCCTTCCAATGAATGATCCTCATCAAGATATTGATTCTGAATGGCTGATTGCCTTCGACAATAGAATCTTCACTTGACGTTTGAACATCGTCGGAGGTTTGACACTCACTGGACAAATCATTGCCATAGAGAACATGACCTGGCGCAGGCTTTTGACCTCCGCCAAATGACACAACCAGACTACCGCTGGGTGAAATGGAATTCTTGTTGTAATTGTTCTGGTCAAAGTCCAGTGCCTGTCTCACGTGGCCTGTCTGTATATCCCACACCTGGACTGTGCCATTCCTCGAGAACGACGTCAACGTTTTCCCGTCTTGTGAGTAGGATATTCTGGAGAAGTCACTGAAGAGGCTTTTGAGTTGCTGTCTCTCTTCACCTATGACTGGGTCCCAGAACCGTATTGTACCATCTCTGGAACATGATGCTATAGTTTTGCCGTCTGGGGACCAAATCACTTCCAAGGCCCAATCACTGTGTCCACAAAGCCTGTGCTTCTCTTCACCCGTTGTGGCATCCCATGTTCTCACTGTTCCATCCGCTGAACAGGAAGCTATTCTCTTATTATCTGGCGAAAAAGCTATTCCGGTAACAAATTCATTATGGCCTTCCAATGTGAACAAACAATTGCTCCAATCCATCTCAATTGCCGGTAGTTTCGTGATCCACAGGGGAATGTTCTCCTCAAACATAGCTCTGATCTTGCTCCTCTTGGGCGCGAATATTAGTGCAGAAGAATATATCTGGTATATTCATTATTGTCCTAAAGGTGAGGATGAATGGAATTGCGTCAGATAAAAAGGCAGAGATGTTCGACTCAGGAGCCGCCTGGACAGCTCGTATTAGCAAAACTGGAGTGAAAGACATCATCTACGTAACTTACAGGGAGACTTTGCAAGTCTCTGATGATCCCAACACTTTCGGATATCTTTCCCACGAGACTTAATGCCTCAAGCCAGTGTAGTAAATGGCATTTGAAAAACCAGTAGACTTCCCCGTTATCTGTTAGGATATCACCACTCTCGACTGCATGATAGACCCAGTATTGGCATGCATATGGAACGTCTGCTGGTAATTTGAGGCTAACGACAGCAGTTGGAAGATCTGTGCGGGCTGCCCCCGGTGATTTGAGATCGCAAATGTCTTCTTTCAGATTGCCCTCAGCGGAAAGGAGCTTTATACAGCAACTAGTCAGTTTGGCGTGAGTTGCTCTCTCATCAATCCAGAACGGATTAGTCTTAGATTTCTCGGTGTTAATAAGAAAGTCGCGGAATGAGAGGTGAAGCATCCGAATTGGAGCTTCAGGAGACGCCGGTACACTCAATACAGAATGAAGCGTTCTCAGCCTCCGATCAACATCAGACCGAGGGATATCGAGGATCCGAGATAGGGACGAGGCTGAAAGAGGTTCAGTCAGAAGTATAATAGAGGCCACAATGCCCCGGAATTCGTTGACAAGAGACAGCTGTGCTATCTGAGATGTTGCGACGAGCTGATCAAGAACCGGGCGGTATGTTGCATCAAGGCTATCAATCTCGTGGCGTGGGTCAGTAGGACGGTATTGTAAAACCTTTGCTAGCTGCCCTTTTGGGTCTGACCATGTCGGATCTTTGATAAAGCGGCACACGGTAGCGGCAAAAATGAACAGAGGAGTGGCCATCTGAGCCAACTCCTGGATCTCTTCTTGACTTGGCCATTCGCATGGAAGGCACTCATACGGAGATAAGCTGTTATGGTGGGCCCTGATAGTGGCAAGCTCAGTATGCAGAAAAGCGCTTATGTCATGCTTGATAATTGACTGGGGAATTTCGTGCAGAACCAGATCTTGATAGCTGCCGTGGATTGTGTTAAACCCCATTCGAATGGGCAGTTCGGGCCGGCTTGTTAGAAAGGTTCTAAGCCGCACTGAGGTCAAGTCTTGAGCCCGCGTGAGTAAGTGAATAATAGTCTGATATCGTCATCCTTGTCACACTCGTCGAGGGCGTCAATCACAAACGCAAGTGTCCTCACTTCATGCGAGCGTGGTTTTAGCGCATCCAACGGTTTCACAACTAGTTCCCTGAACTGCTCTGTTAGACTTTTGCTGGTCAGAGTAGGGTCAGCTTTCATGGCAGCTGCGATGCTTGGTGCAAGGGAGGGCTCATTGGTGACCAGCTGGGAGGAAATGGTGGTAAAAAGCCGATCCGCGTTACCCCTGTTTTGTTCACCCCTTTTAAAGAAGAAGCTAGCACCAAGAATTCCGTTCTCAGCAAATGACTGGGCAACTGTGCGCGAAATGGTCGATTTTCCAGTTCCAGCCATACCATTCAGCCAGAAAACACAGCGACCCTGTGGATCTCCCACCCAATCCAATATGTTCTGCAGGAGGGCAACACGTGTCTCTGGGTGGCATCGAGAATAATGCTCTTCGGCGTGAGAATCAAACGTAGCACCAGTGGCAATCGGTAATTTGGAAAGGGTGATTGTTTGCGACAGGTCAAGAGTCTGCTCACTGAGCATATTTTCAGCATGATGAAGCCATTAGAGACATTAATTGGAATCATACGCGTGATCAATGGCCAGAGCGACCGCGAGCGTATTACGGTGTTTTTCAAGTCTTGCCATGATGAAATCAACCTCGTGGCTCTCAAACGGCCATTTAAGGGCTCGTATTCCAAATCGCCGCATCAACCTTGTACTATCGGAATCAAGTTTCTTTTTCAACTTGGCCAAGATATCTGTGAGCTGGTCCGAACAGCCGTTGACATCCTCATGTAACTGACGTAGTGTCTGCAGCTTGCTGCCATTCGGGTGGTCAAGAAGCTTCCGCAACCCATCGAGGGTAGCATTCAGCCTTTCAAGTTCTTCCTGTAGACGTTTGATATCTGACTTTGCCGTTTTGACTCCTTGGGAGTACCGAAACAGAAGTAAGGCAATCTTCGCTGACAGGTCGATCACCGCTAGGACGCTCGAAGCCGCACTGACACCATCCATTTTCACTCGGAGTGGATGTAGTCACTAAGCAACTGAATCGAGTGCCGACGACGGGTCGTGGTGCTAGAAATCCGATGATGATCGAGTGGGGCATGAGGAGGAGGGGTCGGTCGCGCGGGGCCAATGCATTGACGCCTAGGATTGAGGCTGTGTTGTCCCGTGAAAGCTTTCGATCTATTATGGATCTCGGTCCCTACGAAGTCGATGTTATCCTTTACTTTACAGCAACATCTCAAGAGACGGAGTACCCGGAGATGTTCACTGGTGATAAACCAGTCTTTCCCGCCCCCATAAAAGGGGATACTAAGAGGGAGGACCAAATGGCTCTTGCTTGTGCGCAGAGCCCTATACCAGAGTCTGAACCTCTCCAGTGACTTCTTACTTTCCTTGCTTATTACGCCAATTTGGACATCGGTTAAAATCGTGGGTCACTTGCTCCCGCATATTTTACAATGGTTATTTCATATATCAATTTACAGTATCTATGAAACTATCAGCAAGGTCAATATACGGATCCCAAGCCTATGAAGGTGTGGCCACTGAAGCCTTTTTATGATCGCCCAACTATCCCCGAATGCTAAAACTGCTAACGTGGCCTTCACCCTCCCCCCGGCTAGTCGTGCCCCTGACTAGTTACCGGTCGCCCCTTAGGCTAGCCGGCTAACTCCCTATCCACTTCCCATCAACTTCCCATCCACATTATCGGCTTTATGACACTTTCTTATTAACCCTGCCTTTGTATTAGCTTGCAGACTTAGATTGAATGGAATTGGAAATTCCCATACACAGCTCTACACAGCACAGGGGGCAGAAGCCATGGTCCTTCCTTACATAATCTACAAACAATGCATCTCATCCCTTGCATTGTGGCATTTTCGATGGCCACCCTTTCAAAGAACATGAATCGAGAAACGTTTCTTTTCCACGTACAGAAATTGACTCGCTGCAACTCGTATCGAATCCCTGTCAGATGTCCCATAAGGGCCACGATGGACTAATTGGAGCCTCATATTGACATTGGCAGATACCTCACATCCCGACAAGACTCCAGTCCTTCTTTTCTGATCATCTTCCCACTTGTCGTCAGGATGGGGGTTTTCATCAATGCCTTTCTTCGCAACAGGAACTCGACCGACATTGATCGTCGGTACTGTGCTCGGGAAGTGCCTATGAAAGTCATCATGCTTGGGTTTCCCCGTACTGGAACAGCTTGTAAGTGTCTACAAAGAATCTAATCTGGCTCATCCTGTCTCCTTCAACTAATCAGTTTCTCTTGTATAGCTTTGACATCCGCGTTAAGAGTACTAGGCTACCATCACGCTTATCATGGACGAGATGCACTGACCTTCAATCCTCGAGACTGCGAGTTATGGTGGAAAGCCTTGCAGGCAAAATATAACGGAAAGGGAAAAGAGTTTGGTCGCAAGGAATTCGATCAGCTCCTAGGCCATTGCCAGGTAAATAAGACAAAGAGTGGAAGGTCACACAGATCCTCTTCCTCGGACGCTTCAAAGCTAGTCATGTGATTTACTGACACCATTTCCAGGCTGTCTCTGATATCCCTGCAATTTGCTTTGCCGAAGAGCTGATCGCGGCGTATCCAAATGCCAAAGTCATTTTGACGGTGAGAGAAGTAGGAGAGTGGCAGGAGTAAGTAGGGTCGGATTCAGCTGTTGAAAACCACTGTTCTTAACACATCGACGCCAACTGTACAGATCAGTGAGGAAATCGATCATACAAGTAATCCAGGACCCATTTCTTTACCCGATGATCTTCTTGGATCACCTTCTTTTCATGCCATGGCGCTGGGTCCGACCAACCATCCTCAAGTCCCGGAATGTGCTTTGGGGCGACGATTTCGACAAGAACGGACGGAAGGCCTTTGAGGAACACTATCAGAAAATCCAATCTATGGTGCCAGCTGAAAGGCTACTGCTCTACCATGTCAAAGAAGGATGGGAACCTCTGTGCAAATTTCTTGGCCAACCAATTCCTTCGACCTCAATGATAAATGTGAACGACACTAAGGAGTTTAATCAAAGAGTCCTGGCAAAGAAGGTGTACCATTGCACCCAGTACATTGTCAGGATTGTGGAAATTGCCGCCTATGCGTCGCTATTTACTTTTCTCTGGGCTGTTCTCCAAGGTGGAAAACCATTGCCATGGCAATGAAAAGGTCGATCAGTTACAATTGGAGTTATCGAGCCGAGAGTGACATTGTGTTAGCTAGATATAAGATTTCAATATCTCCACGGAGGTTGACAATTGAACGACCCATTTTGTGCGCTAAGTACTCAGGTGTACTTACCAGTCGCTCATATTCTCCGTTACACCTGAGTTGAGTGAACATGATCTAAACCCTTGGGAATAATGAGCAGGTGGAAGAAGCTTGTTCAAGACTGAGGTGATAATTGCTTTGCCATTCCAGCGACGGTAGGGGCCCTTGTACTTCATCCGGGCGATGCTTCTTATCTTGAGTGGGGATTTCTTTTGTTATTCTCGAAAGGTCTTACATCTTTCTTTTTCGATGTGCTCATGATATCTCAGATACAGTACAATATGATTCTCAATCCATCTTGTTACTGAAAAACTAAAGTGTACAGCGGCGTGTTTTTTGCCATTCATTCCCCTGACGCATCATTGCAACCAAGGGGGTGTGTACCGTTACAACACGCAGCACCGGGATTTGTGGCACTACTCCTGCAGCTTTAAGAAAACGTGATCGGTAATCCAACCACAACCAATGAGAGGGAGGCTTGGCGGAAGAGTTGGATGTATGTTTCTCGCTCTGTCTTTGGCACTGGGAACGCACTGTCGCACGCAGTTGCCCTGGAACGAGAGAGAAAAGCGAGCACATGAGGGGACAAGTACCAGACCAATGAGAGCCAGGCTTAAGAAGCAGAATTAGAACGAAAAGAATATTCAATACCCACATGGCTAGAAATTGATTATTTCGAAGCATTTGCTACCTAAGTCTTAGGGTACTCTTCTTGTCTATTTAGAGACACTAGAGTTCGATCAAATAAGCAGCTGGATTTTTATCTAGGTCGAAAGTCCATTCTTTGGTGGTCGGAATCGAGTCTCATAATTTGTAGCAAACAATCTACCGATCTCCGGTTCCCAATCAAGATAAGTAACACCATTCTAGATGCCTGTCTCGGCAGCAAGTTGTATTAAGATAAGCTATATTGCAGCTATTGGAGGCCTTTCAGCTCCATCATCTGGGTATTTCAGTCGCGCCTGCTATCTTTGTGGTTATTCACCCTTGCAAGGATCACTCTTCATTCACTCCAGTGTTCCGTCGAAATCACAATGATGATGATAACGACTAGAATTTAGGCTGCATTCCCAAGCCGCCTCGCTTTCCTCACTTCAGAACGGAAACCTCACAAGATCCCGAGTGTCATCAACCCCCCCCCCTCCTCTCTCCCTCCCCACTACCAGGCTATAGCTATATGTCATCCTGTTGGACTATCTGTTCCCAGCATAATCTCACTCTAGGCTATAGAAAATTCAATCATTTTGCAGTACTGAATCAAATTCAGCCACGCACTTTGTTCTCTTCAGCAGAGTCGACTTACATCGAACTTCCCCAAAAAGGCCTGGATACCTTGCTTCATCACAAGGTCCCTAGACTGGATCTCTGTCCCATCTCGCTGGCCTGCCCACTTGCTATGAGTGTCATCGAAGATTGCCCGTATTGCATGAACCCCAGTTTCTCCCGTAATGATATTAAAGCCCCGAAGCTGTCGCCCATGCAGACTCAACATCGTATATTGACCCGGTTTCCGATACCCAAAAGTCAACTTTGGCTCATCTCGATCACCCTCTAGTAGATCAAGTCCAGTTATATAGGTATCAGGTCCTTCACGAAGGAGAAAAATGGCTAAACCGGTGACTGATTCATTCAATGGAACGGCCTGAACAAAAGGAGTGTGTTCCATGCCGCACTTCTCGCATGAAGTCAAATCTGTTCCTTGTTCAATACTGCGGTCGCATTTCAGGCTTGTCGAGATACCCTGCCAAGATAACTTGCCAATCAAATGGCTATATAAACTGACTTGCTCTTCCGAGGCTTTGACCATTGTGTATCTTTCTTTCAGCCATCGGTTACTTTGCCACTGTTCTCGTTTTCTCCAGAGATGCTCAGTAGACCGATCTATCTTTGCAGTACACCGGTAGATCAGGCGCCAGTCCTTAGAATTCAATCTTTGTTTCTCTGGTATTGGCTCAGCGTCAGCTTGAGTCTCTGATAGCAGGCAGTAGAGAAATCCACGGTCTTCGCAAGGTAAAAATCTGGATTTCCAAAACACTTGATCCCAAAAAACTTCCGCCATTGATCGAGATACCTGCCTCAGACTAAGGAAATCCGAAGTGGACAGGTTTGTAGCTATTTCGGTTCGTATCTCCAAAGGGAGGAGGCGAAATGAGTCGGAATTGGAACTAAGGGATCTTTTTCTCTTCCTCTTTAGTAGCTCTGGAGGCCTATGTCGTTCCTTGGCATATTGTATCCCTGGGATGACAGGTTGCTTGAGAGGGGAACTGTACCCCTCTTCATCTAGGTCGGCTATATATTTAGAGCCTTTGAATATGTTAATCCACGTATCCATAGAGGTAATACCTAGTTAGCACATAGTGGGTATATATGCCCAGGTGAATATCTCAATATATCGGTATGTGCATCCATAGGTATCTGATAAAGATGAACACATAAGCGAGATAGTAACCTACCAGCATAGACTTCTCTGTAGTAATGAGGAACATCTTTACACACTTCGAAAAGCTGATCCAGGTCGACATCTCCTTCAAATTGCTGCTTCAAAACGATCCAGCAGTTTTCGTGGAATAAATGAGCCTTGACTGGCCTGACTTTGAGCATTGCGTACCAAGGGCTAAGCTCTTTAGCAGTTCTCCCATTAGACTCTCGAACCTGCTCGTTTTCCCAGACAAACTCGGTCACACACACATCTCCTAACTTAGCACCCTCCGGAGTCATATATACTATAATAAATGTGTCAGACTTATGTATGATCAGATGTACCCCAGAGGAGGACCAACGCGCTCGATAATATCTCATCCAGTTTTTTTCATCAACGTCATGTATCAACCAAGACCATATCTCACCGATCCGGTATCCACACGATATGCAATAAGTGGACCAATCCAACCAATGCCTTTTTCTATAGGCATCCCACAACGATGGAAAGTTCCTGAACCACTCAATGTCCATAGCGAGATCTAAACGCCACGCAGATAGTTCGAATATCCCAAAGCAAAGGCCGTTTAGAGTACTCGAAGGCTGAAAGATCTTGAAGAAACTTGGTAGGAACATTGAATCGTGTAATGCGTTTAGGTCATAGTATATAAAAAGTTCTGATATGTTGCTGATATGGAGATCATCATGACATCAGTCTATTCGACATGTGGATAATCTCAGCATCATAATCGTCGCATCGTGTGAGGACGTCGGACCTCGACTGAGCCTGAGCAGCCAAAGCTTGGGTTGCAACGCCCTCTAACGACAGCGCTACCTGAGATCAATCGAGTTGCTATCTCAATTTGGAAGCACTTCTGCGGGAAAAATGCGTGCTAAGCGTGACAAGCCCAACATAGAAATTTGCTTGGGCAAAGCTCTACGGCAATTTCCAATAGAGACGTCAGCTTTCGCATATTAGCTCAGTTGATCATCCCATTGAAGCGCCCCAAGGGTCCTGTCCGTTATGTTGTACATTTCTGTATGCCTGCAAACAATTAGTGGTCCAGACATGCACCTAGACCACTACAGCGGGCTTCGGCGTAACCTAGTCAGTGACGTAAATCAGCGAATTGCCTGCGTAGGGGTGGCCACTATAAATAAGCAGCCCACCTCATCATAGATACGGAACTCAGAAACTTCATATTCAAGAATGTGAACTATATTAAATGCCTCCTTGTGATTGTATTAGGGTGGTGGAGAAGCACGAATCAGAATCGAAATAACTAAATTATCAGACCTGTAGCTCGATTTTGCCGTATTTCAACTACTGGTGACTGGATAGCAGCCTACCGAAGGTCAAGAAGTAAAATAGATGCTAATGAGATGAAAACTCAAATAAACCCACAAAGTCATATATATAATACCTATTGTATGAAGTTATGCATCCACATTTCGGTTGGAGGCGACTTACTACCCTGTACGATTAGGCTTTCAGGTAGCTTTGGTGATATTTTATACATCTAGATATTAGGCAACAAGTGAGGTAAAGCCCGCTACGGTCTGTCTACTCACGCGCATGAGACCTTTTGAGAGCAAGTAAAGGGGGAACCAAAGGTTGAGCAGGTCAAGCTGGTGAAGAAGACAGGGAGCGTCCACTCGGAGGAGTCTGGTCCGTCGATGACACAGCTGTTTAACATTCAGTTCCTCACCGGCCGTCGGATCCCTCAGCTGAAATTCAGCAAATGGCCGGCCAAGAAGGCGTTCCTGTGGGAGTGATTTTGTGCTGGCCGTCTTCGACGAATCACGATGTCAGCGGAGCTACCTAGATTGGTTTCTGTCAAAGCAAGCTAATATTGAGGCTATCCAATCAGCTCAAGCGGATTCAATATTGGAACGAATTGATTTGAATGACTAGCTAAACGATGGGAAGAGCGCTGTTAAAATAGCTCTCTGCATACATTGCAAACACATCCAGTAGACAGCTGTCAGACAGCTGTCTCACTGCCAACACAGCTTCCGTTGGAAGCGTAGCTGCGTATTTAATACGCAGCTGCTTGGCTGTTATAACCCGTCGGTTGCTGTCAATACTTTTCCTTACATATGAAACGGTAAACGAGTGTGGTTACACCAGCAACGGATCGGTTGCTGGCAGTAAGTTGGGCGGTCGCATCCGCAGTCACATCCTTGACACACCCCCTTAGCGATATCATCATGATAAAATCGCTGCATCAAGATCTCTAAGACCTTCAGCGGTCAGTTTCACCCTCCAAGAGACGTCTAATATCCTCTATACCTAATTAGCTAACGAATTCAGCGTGCTTTTGGCGAGGTAATAGCTTCGTCAGACCGTCCGCCACTATATCCGTTATCTTTACCTACTGCACGGGGATACGCCCAGCCTAGACCTCCTAACGAAGCTAGTGCTGGTGTATGTCGATATGTCAGAGCTTCGTACGTAGTTAAGGTGCTTCGCCGG